CTCTGATTTCGTTATTTTTATTATTTTGATGCCTCGACATTTATTTTGATTCGGCTTTCGTGTGCAATGGGTATTTTTATGCGCTTTTTTCGCAAAAATTTTAATTTCCTGCTCGCCAAAGTCATTTTAAAGTCGATTTTTATTTTAAGCTGCGATTGTCAATTTGCCTTTGTAGTCGGTATATTTTAATTTGCCAACTCTTATTGTATTCTCTTTCTGGTTTGCAATTTGTTATAAACACGAGACAAATTTATTTCACCCAACCGTAAGGTAAAATGATAAAACTCAAAGCTAAACCAAATGTTACATAAAACGTGACATTTGTGAAACTCACAATTTGATTCCATACCATTTTATTTTATTTCATTTTTGGATTGTATTTATTTGGATTTTAGTTGCTGGGTGATTTCTGTACTCGTGATTGCATTAACCTGGTCTTATGTTGCTATAGGTGATTGTTGGCCAGGTTTCATGCACGTTTTATCCCACGCGAGGGATTTTCCATGATTTACTAATACTTGCACTATTTTTATTTTCCAGCTCTTAAAATCAATTTCTATAGAATTAAATCAACCATAGTAATTTGTTTTAAAACATTTTACCCCTGAGTGCATGAAAAACCCTCTTAAACTGTCTCATAGTCTAAGAATTTATGACTTTCTTTCTATTTATATATTTTTGCTTATCAATAACCATACGAATTTATATTTGTCTTTTAATTAATATATATTTCCTTATCAATAAAACCCTCTATGAATTATTATTATCAAAAAAACACAAGCCACAAGTTCACGGGAATTGCCCAAACAATTCAAAAGTTGTTTTGAAATTCAGCCAGACGTGAAAGGTCACGCAACAAGTGAGCTTTTCGAAAGGATTTTTGTTTCTAAACAGGACGAAGCTCCTTGAAACATTGGCGCCATCTGCACAAAGCTCCAGGAAGCTAAGTCGTTGAATAAAAAATACAACTTTCTATGCCCCTTATAGAAAGTTCATGTGCCATAAAAATGCCATTAAGTACACACGTACAAATATAATAAATAATTTTCCATTTGCTTAAAGCTTACGCTTGAAAAAAAGAAAACAAACGGTTTGTTAAATATGAGCTCAGTGTTATTTAGGGCCCCAAAAAAAAAGTACGTTTACACGTTTTTATGCGACTTTAACCAGTTTTTTGTGTGTTTGCCTTGCTTACACACGGCACTTTTATTATTTAACTTTATTTACCTTTTATTGTATAATACCCGGCGATGCAGAGTTCGTTATTAATGCAGTTAAAATAACTGTTAGCCAAACAGAACAAAATCCCCAAAAAAACCAAAACGAGGAAATAAATGTGTGTGAAAAAATGGTAATAAACCGGTTCGCGGGTGGGTCAAACCAACTGTAAATCGGTCTTCAAACGACGACGTTTAATAAATATTTAATAATTGGCATGATGCATATCTCTCCCTCTCTCTCTGTATTTTAAAATTATATATATATTTATATATATGGCGTGCAGTTAACAACAAAAACGAGCTTCCCCCTTTTATTTATTTCATAAATCGTGGCCAGAAACTCATCAAATTGAATGCAATTAAACGCTGGCCAACAACATTAACAATGATTGATCAAATGATATATATCTTTTGATAGGATATATGACAGATGCCCCCCAACGATGAGTTGAAGAAATCCCATTGCGTGATCCAATGTTATTTGCGGCATTCGAATAGATAATGAGTTTTTGGCCAAAAACGATAACGAAATGGTAATGTTGTCGTCCTATATATTCGCTTAATTATATACGGAAGTAAAGGGAATATTATTATTTCCCTTTTATTTTTTACCATATATAGTAAACTTATATGATCTAAAGGTAGTATATGTAAATTGGTTTTATCATGCTTTGTTGACTTCTATAAGTTTATATCACAGGGCAAAGCAAAAGGCGTGACAAACTCTGATTTCCCACACGATCATGGCCTCTGCACCCTATAAATATACATAAAGAAAATGATAATTTCGTTTTCTTTTTCTGAAGGCATATTAAAAAGCCATTAAACAAGAAAATAAAAACAAAAAGTACAAGCGTTGCGAACTCTCAATGGGTTGAATTGAAATCGAAATCTGAAATCCGAAACAATGCGGCTGTTCCACGCGATATTTATGGCCAAACTGTCTTCAAGTACTGGCCGAGTGTTTGCTATTTGATTTTTGCTGTTTTTTTTTGTTTTTTATTTATGTATTTTGTTTTTTTTTTATTTTGTTTTTTTTTTATTTTGTTTTTTGGTTTCCCTATTGCCACCGGCATTGGGCATTAGAGACTGAAGTTGTGCATGAATGCGAGTGTGTATAAACAAAACCATACCGGACGGTCTGAAATCGTGCTGATTAATGTTCCTCTACAGCAAATGGCATAGGTCAGTTACACTAATTGAAATAGAATGTTGTTGGTCAGTGGTTTTCGTGGGTGTTGCTCTATATATCTATATATAAGATATATGTATGTATATATTTTCCAACGTAAGCGTGGGCAATTGTGAATGGGGAAGTACTTGTCTTGAGCATCATTTAGAAAGCATTGCAACTCTCATCCGAAACACGCTTCCTTTCACTTTAGAACGCGGAGTACAGGGGCTTGAAAGAGTTTGAAGTGAAAGTAGGGGGGTAAGAGTTCTCTGGAAAATGAGAAAAACCCACACAGAAAAGCTTTGTAATCTTTACTTTACTTTATCATGGGTTTCCCACAGTTTATGTTTACTAAATTGCTACACATTACCTTATACAAGATAAGGTAACAATCAGTCTTCTGTTTATAACTACACTTGAGAGTTAATAATAATTGTTCAAGACTAACTTGAATAAACTTTTCAAATCTTTAATTCTTCTACGATCTTGAATAAATTTCTTTCTTTTGGTACCAGATTCTTTCATTTAAGAAAGCTTGAGTAAGAGAAAAAACTGGTCTTTTTATATATTATATATATTCTTCGCTTACCACAGCAAATGATTTACTTTGTCTCAAAATGATGGAACATTCTTCTCCAGCGAGTAGATGATCTTTGTGGTTTCTTTTTGGTCTATCAATCTGGCTACAAGATAGTATCTGAAATTTGCATAAATTCTTTTCGCGAAAAGAAACTTTCTAAAGAAGTGAAGAACCCCAAAAACATGACATCAACAAGTGGTCAAAAACATAGAACAAACATTCATATGGCGAGAGCTTTAGGATATGGCAAAGCTATATTTTCCAGCTTTTGATCCTTAAGATGAAAATAAAAGAAAACCCAGCTGATGACAGCTGAGCGGTGTCACGTGGTGGAGCTTTTTGGGAGGAAACTCACCGAGAGAGTCTGCACACGATAGAAATTGAGAGCAGAGAGAGAGCCAAAGGATACGCATGTCCTGGAAACGTCAAAACAAGCAAAGCCTGATTATGATATTCTTTGGGTTTGGGTTTGTTATTGGGGCCCGCCGTTTCCTTTTGCTTTTTGGCCTGATTAGAAGACAAAGCTGTCTGCCACTCCCCTTACTCAGCCCCCCCCCTCAATCCGCGCTCCAATTCGATTGCAGTCCGGGGCACTTCAACTTTGATTGACATGATGAAGTTGTAAATGCATTACTTGAGACAATCAACGGAGCGGGGAAAGCAGGCGCCGGGCATCCCACGGATGTCAAACAAACCCAGACTGGGAGCAAACTAATGAGGCGCCAGGAAGCCAGTTCAGCGAAAATAAAAACACCAACAAATAGTTTGAGCAGTAAAAACGTTCCCCTAAAAGATACAGTAGGACCCCTAAAGAAATAAACAAATCGGGCAAAGGATAGCAGAGTAATCATTTAATTGAGGTTCAATCTTGCAAAGCAAATAAAAGAAATCTTTTGGAGATATTTGTATCTTAAATTTTAAGCTATTGCCTCTCATATTTCTTTATAGTTTGATTTATCACTATTATATAGTAAACAAAAGTCTTGGTTAGATATATTAAAAATTAAGTAAGTTTAATAAAGACCTAAAACCATTAATTGAAATAATGCCCTCATAAGGTAATTCGTTTAGAAGCTAAAAAACCCGGAAATCATACTTCAAACTAACCAAAAGTCTTCTTCAATTTTAGAATTTATGTTAATTTTCAGTACTTTTTAATAATAGATACTTAACCTAAGTTTCTAAGTACTTACTAAAGTTCTTAGTAACCCTGAATAAGGTCATAGAGTTAGCCAATTTACAAAACAGTTCTCGTGAAATATAAAAGTCTCCTTCAATTTTAGAAGTTATATTAATTTTCCGTACTTTTTTATCATAGATACTTAACCTAAGTTTCTAAGTACTTACTAAAGTTCTTAGTAACCCTTAATAAGTTCATAGAGTTAAAAATTTACAAAACAGTTCTCGTGAAATATGAAGCTGCTTCTCATGTTTATTAAACTGTTCTAATAGTTTTAATTTAAAATGCAAAATAGCTCTAAGCTTGTGGAAAATATTAAAAAAAAAAACCTGAAACCCCATCTTAAAAACCCTTTTAATTCACCGGAAAATCTATGTACACACTCGTAATATGTACATCTCAATCTTCCCTTGGTGATTTTCAAATAGAATTTCCCAGCTATTATTCCGTGCTCGAGGTGTGTTCACTGTGTGCGAAGGCGTGCCAAGGTTAAGCGTTCGCTCAATGAACGATGGGGGAGCGGGTGGCCACCAGGAGGTGTGGCACTGGTCAGGGAAGGGGGGGCGCTTCTGAGGGGGTCACACCCCCAAGCGAGGGGTGCAGCGAGGGGCGCAGCTTGTGCAATCAGCTGTTGCTAATGAAAAATGTCGGCGGGTTCAGCCAGGAATAAGCAAGAGTCAAAGCTTATTGATTTTCAACTGCGTAAGTTGGCCAGGGAAAAATTCTGGGAAAGTCATTGGGGGCGGGAAGGAGTGGGGAAAAGGTGCGATAGTCCTTCATAAGGGGGACACAATTTCTTGGATAAGAGACAACTTAATTAATTTGCTCAACTAAATGGAAACTTACCCGTCACCGTTGATTGTATGTAGATTTATTAATTTGCCGCAGTTAGTTTTACTTTTTTAATGGCTTGCCGTTTTCTCCTTGATTTTCTTTTATTTTATTTAATATCTCATCGTTTTTATTGCTGTAAGTATTTCCGCTTTAAATTAAATGCAATTATAATATAGTGTGTGTACGATACGACTATGAAGATGGCAATTATATATGCACAACTCGCGTTTTGTTTTGCATTTTAATTACAGCGGTTTTTGCATATTTGATAAAGTCGTTTACAAAGCAATTTTCCCGACAAAAGCGAAAACCCGTGGCGAGGGCAGGGAAAAGGAATCTTTATGTATAATATATGCATATATAAATATATAGCTGAGACAAATTAAACGCGCAAAACGGAGGCAACAAATTTGTGATTTGATGATGTCTAAGGTCGACAGACAAAAACGTAGCAAGAAAAAACAACTCAGAAAACGCTGACAAAGAAGTGCAAAAACACAGAAATGTAGCTCATGAATTTGACGCCCCAAGAGAAAGAGAGGGGGCGAGAAAATCGGGTGAGATAGGGAGCCGCTTGCTTGGTATTAGATGGCTTATCAGTTCTTATCAACGCGACCGCTGATGACGCTAAGAGATACAGATACAGATACACAGGGCTAGACATTCAAGCAAATTGAACAACACTGCAATCAGCGGAAAAACGAGGCTTAACTCATGTTTATCTCTGTACATGTCGGTGCGTTTCTGTAGCAACAGCTTGTTCGACAGCCAGATACACCGCCAGTATCTGTATCTGTATCTCATAGTTTGCCATGTTTGGCGCTCTGTAGAACATCTTGCCAAAGATTGATAAAACCGAGGGGTCTGAAGATTGATTTCTTGTCAGGGAATTTCCCGGCACAATGTATTATTTTGGTTGATTAAACTTGTTTCATAGGAGATTCATATTTACGAAAGTTTATCATTTGCAAATTACAATGCACATTGTTTGTGTTTTTATGTTATTTTAAAATGGATTTAATGCACTATCTGTATCTCACAGCGTTTTATGTTGATAAATATTGTTTTATTTATTATCTTTTGGCTTTATTAATTCGTCATACAAATTTCAAAATTTCAAGCTTTTATATATCTGATAAAAATAGATTTATCCGCTCTATATGTACTTCTATATTATTGTAAAAGCTTAGAGATTATAATTGATATCAATTGCTATTGATTCATCAGCCTTCTTCAGTTATTTCTGTTTATTTCAGATTTCATTTTAGATTTCTATTTGAACTTTATTTCTCTTTTGGAATATCAAACAAATATTAAATGTTGTGTTTTCATTATTTTGTTTTTGTCCATGTTGTTGTTGTTGACAACCAAAAACAAACACCATGAACTTGAGGCACACACGCACACACACCCACTATACTAGATGGATTTATATTTATAAAGCTTCTCGATTGCAGCACTGTGTCTTCTTGTTGATTTCTTTGCTTGTTTTCTTTTTTTGCACTGCACCGCGATTTAGTGCGATGATTTTCCGCTTTTTTCGCGACGGATATTTAATTTTCTTCGATATTTTTGCGAATCGCCTATTAACGATTTATTCTGAGGGAAGAGAGCGCGCGTGGGAGGCCCCCCCAAATAAAAAAAAGAGAGACAGCGTGCGGAGAGAGCGACGCCAAAGCCCCAACAACCCACCAAGGCAGCGCGAGTAACACAGCGTCCGCGTCCGACAAACTTTGACAGCGCCGCGCCAAGTTCCGTTAACAACTGAGCTGAAACTGAACAGAGCGCTTGCACAGCGGTGGAGCACCGGGCAGCGCAGCCGCGCACAGTGGTATGGGAGAGGCGATCCAACCACTTTTTTTTAGATAATACAAGTGGGCTGTCCCAACTAACAAGTTTCTCTCTGGAGTAACTGCTATTTCCGGTTCCCCAAAAAGTAGGCAACGCTTTTTGTGAACTAAATATATTTAGAAGAGACCTACAAGATTAAACCTCAAAACTAATACCTATGCTTGATTATATATTTTGAAAGCATTAAGAGGCAAAGTATATTTAAGCTAAAATAATCTTAGCGTTAAAAATAAATCAACTTATAAATTTGTTTTGGATTAGTTCAAAATTAAATGAAGTAAAAGCTAAGTAATTTATTAAAAGCAAAATGACTACCTAATAATTTAAATTATAAAATATTTAAAAACACTCTTTAATATAAAAAATCAAGCTCTATGAATCTATAAAATATAAAATATATGAATAAATAAAATATTCTAGAGACTACTTTTAAAAATGTGTAATATATTTTTTACACACAATTTGTATTAAATGATTAACCTTAGACTATACCCTAAAAATGTATTTATTATATTTTTATAAAACCAACTTTAGATACCACTGTGCAGGGCTGAGGCAGCGGCAGAGCAGCAGCCACAATACTCCCGTTCAAAGTTAAAATACCTTCAGTCGTTGCTGTTGCTTCCGAAGCTCTCTTGTTGCCTTTGTTGTTGTCAATCAATTGACAAAAAAGTATCACCGGAGCTAACTTTACAGTTACGTCCTCTCTGACTGTGTGGTTCTCTCATTCTGCCTGTACTTAGCCGCTCTCACTAAGCTAAAACAGCTGATTACGTTACGAAAATGTAAACAGACCGCGGAGAGAGGCCACAAAGCTTGCTCTCCTCTCACTTTTTAGCTTTTGCTTTTGCCATTGCTTTTGCTTTTGCTTTTCCTTTTTGCTTTTCCTGATTCCCATTCTCACCTGTACACCCCGCAGCGGGGGTGTTAGCCATAATGAGCGTGCATTAAGCTAGTAATTGACTAAGAAGCCACTAAGAAACAAAGCCAAGGTGGACGGAAACGAGTTTCCAATGCGACCCTATTGCAGCACTTTCGGATGTGGGTGGGGTGAAAAAACGGAGGAAAATCTACAGCGAGCAGCTATGTACATACTTATGTATGTTTGTAGTTAAGATATTTGCCTGTCCCCAATTTCCATTCATTCATTTTGGGCCAAATTATTTTAAGATACCCTGAAATTAGAGAGAGTTTTTTCAATTTTCAAAAAATCTGTGCCCAAGAATATATATAAATAAATTTGCATTTTCCTTAAGCACTTTATTTAAACTTTAAAAGATTTAGTTTGTTTTCATGCTTTTAAAATTGTATCAACGATTAAGATTAGCTATCAGATTAAAATGCCATTAGTGTACAAAACAAAGCCATTAAACTTAACGCTTGCTGTTCTGAATGAACTTTTCCTATAGATTGCTTATCCGAACATGCAAAGATTTCGTCATTTCGCTAAAGTGTGGAAGTCGAGTATTTTTAATTGTATTAGTCACATTAAGTATTTATTATTAAATCAAAATCCAACCTAATTCGAACAAGAAAAATTATAATATATAAGATTTGTGACCATGACTTTTAAATCAAATGTAATACTAAGTTTAAAGGAAGTTTCTTTTCACAAAATTAATGAACTTAATTGTGCGCAATTTGCTTCAAATTAAATAATCATTTCTGTCTTATTTACTTAATTTATTCATCGACATATAGTAAAATATTGTTTGCCTTGTATAATAATTTATCCTAAGATCTATTATTTATTTTAAAGAGTTTTCAATCAACTATTTATTAGACATACTAAGATCTTTTTACAACTTGCCTTGTTCTTTTTAATAATAATCTGGCGTTAAGCACCATAATTTCAATATTCCCTCCACTATCCTTGCTTATTTCAACTTAATTAAAAACATCTTTCATCAACAGCCCCATTAATTGCTAATACTTAAACAAAGAGTTTGATGGGATAAACACAAAGACACTTCGTCAAAGCTGAAACAGCCCTTCAAGAGTATGAAGATTTCGACTAATTAATTTCTTGTTTAGTTCCCTCGACTCAGAGGCGTCAGACAATTTGTAATTGGCCGAGCCCAAAAAAAAAGTACAAGTATATATAGAATTTATATATATACATGCATATATTATAGTACAGTGCATATGGGAGTACGACACACAAACCGCAAAAAAGGCAACAGAAATAGATGGCAAAGAATTTCTAGTTGACTGAACACCGAATCTGGCCGACAAGCCATCAGGCCATTAGTCAGACAGTCTGACGACCTAGACCCAGATGCTAGAAACCAGCCACCAGATACAAGATCCATGGCAGAAGCTATAGCCTCAGGCTGAAGTCAAGCCCAGAGCTATGGCTAGCGGAAGCTTGGAGGCGTCATAAATCTTGCGCAACGCCCCATTGGCATTGCTCTGGGGTGGGGGTGGGGATGGGGGGGAGCTGGGAATCGGGCTCACATCCATCCCAATCCCTGTCCATGTCACCGCCAAGACAATGGCCACCAAGTCGCATAATTATGCACCATCATTCTTGAGGCAATTGGTTTGGCCACTGTGCTAATGTGATTAGAGACTGACGTCTTGAAGTGCTGATGCGCTGGAAGTCGAGTGGAGTTGTTCTTAGCCACTTGTTGCCTCAAGTGGCCAAAAAGGAAGTTCGGGAGTCGTAAATTATTCACTCACGGTTTCCGCTTCTTATCATCGCAGATCACTGAGAACAAATAGAGAAAAAGAACTGCACTTTGAAAAGCTAGAGTCAAATTTATGGGATGTTCCAAGCCATTTAAAATGCTCAAGATTAAGATAAAAAGCCAAGTCCGTAAGGTAAAACCTGCTGGCAAATATATATCTATCTTTTCTTTTAAAATTTAGCTTGTTGGTGACTTTATTTTCTAACATATTTTAAACGCAAAGCCAATTTAAGACAGGCCGTTATTTTATTTGGCAAACTGGTTTCTTGTATAAATATGCCTTTAGCCTTGTGTTCTTCATAAATCATAATAAAAATAAAAGTTAAGAAAAATACTCACTAGTATTGTTTATCTATAAATTATTCCTTAAACATACAAATTATATAGGTTAAGTATAAACTAAAATATACATTCTAATGAGCACTTAAAGTGGGATTTACTGTTTTTTAAGCCAGACATTTGGGAAACCCCTTTAACAACTGTAAAGGGTTTACGTCAGTGAGTTTATTTAAAGTGTGAGTTTAACTGCTCTAGTATTTAGTGTTTGCCTTTCCACTTGGTATCTACGTATTTGTATCTCGTAGAACGCTTTGCTGACTGCTCACCGCCAGCGCTCAATCCAATTAAAAAAAGCCCGAACCAAACCATCTGTCGGTGGTGCCCTAAATAAGAAAAAACTTTGGTAGGGAGCTCCCGACGATGGCAGTGCCCTCGATTTGAGTCAAGTGTTATTTTGGGCGCTTTTGTGTGCGCCACAATTATACGACAATTATAAATAATGTCTAATCGCTTTATCTAGCCGGCAACGTAAGTCGGCCCAATTTAGAAGGTGTCGCAGCCCCCTTAAGTATCTTTCTTTTTCAGTATCTGTATCTGTATCTGTAGTTGTATCTGTATCTGGACAGGGGCCAAGATTTATTACGAGTTACACTTGGTAGCTTTGGCGTTAAGGTGTGCGTCATTTGGCCAGGTTATTGGCATCGGAACTAACTGTTCTTGTAGAGATCACTTCCCTCTCACCTTTCGCCCGGGTATTGCACTCAATTACCAGGTGGCATTAAGGTGGAAGTGGAAATGTAAATGGAACTTTACCGCACATGCGGGAAACCGTTCTTGCCTCCCATCTAGCTAGCCCTCAAGAACAACTCATCTGTCGACACTTGGTCTAGATACATGCGAAAAAAGCGCAAAAGATACATAGATAATGTTCTTCTCTCTCCGCCAGATACAAATACAGATACAGTTGATACGTTGAACTCGATTTTTGCAGAAAAAAAAAGTAAAACAAAAATAAACAAAAAAGAAAACTCGACTTGTGAAACTGTCTTTATGAGTCCCCCAAATCTTTCCGGCCAGCAATTTGGAATGTCAAAGTTGACATCTGCATGGCTGGTAAGCGGAGAACTATGAGATTTATTTGCCTGCAATTGCAACTGCAACTACATGTGAAAATGCATTTTCGGCATTCGCGGTACTGTGGCGTCATTTTTAAGGTCCATGCTTGGTTGCATGTGCGGCAGAGCTTTGTTGACGATACCCTGCCATGAAGGTATTTTGATTAAGCTAACCACTTTGTCGAAATTGATATGCAGAATACCTTATTAACTTTATATATTATTATAATAAAGGCAAATGAACACCAATTATGTAAAGCAACGCCTTTCAGTCAACAGGTATTTGGGAAAGGGTAAAATTCAACTCTGGCTGGGTGACAAAGCTAGTTAAACGAGCTGGTGGAAAAGCCGATTACTCAAGGCCAACTCGTAAGTCAAGGAGCTAACCGATGAAGTTGAAAGTTGAACAGGAAAGTTTAACCGGACTCTTGAACAGGAAAATATATATGGAGAAAGCTTCATAGGAATGTTTGTAATTATATGAAATATTTTTATAGGTAAAATAAAGAAATTAAACTATGATAAAAATAGAAAAGTGGTTAAGCAAATGTTTAATGTGGAACGAGTTTTTAATGCTAAAGAAATTAGTTAAATTCTTATTATATACCCTTGTTAATGAATTAATATTATATATTATATTATTGATATTTATCTATATTTTTATGACATTTTTTCGACTAATCAAAGCTTAAATATCTCATAACTAAGCCAAAAAAGCATTAATTTTGATTCGGAAAACATTCCCATTTTAATTTTTAATTAGGTTAATAAATCTGCATACCCAATTTAAAATTAAAAAAAAATTAAATTTTTTTGAAAAATTTCAGACAATTTTAACGATGTAATACTTTACAAATTTTTTGAAATTTTGAAAAAAAGTTTTTTGGAGCTAGCTAGATCGATTCGGCTGTTGATGCTGATCAATAATATATATTGGAGATAGGGTTGGAAATGACTCCTTTACACAGTTACAAGCTTCTGACTGAAATTATAATACCCTGAAAAGTATAAAAAGATAGATAAATATATCAAAAAATCCAACAACCAAAAACTGTATAGTTTAAAATGCATTTCAAAGACTTTATTGCGGTGGCCGAAACAAAAGGGCTGTATCCAAAATGTATTCCAACAAAGCCTCGAAACAATTGAAAATTCGTTCAACTGGCAATTTGAAGCAACTTAGCCGAGCAGCTAATCTCGTGGTAACCATCGTCGAGGCGATTCTCATTGCAAACCACAGAGCAGAGCATCTGGCATTCGATTGCCCCAACCATCTCCAGTCTTTTTTATATTTTTATAAGGCCTTTGCACGCGAGCCAGAGTGGAGCAGACCTGATGAATATCATCATGTAATACCCGAGAAATGTGTAACGATGAGGCAATCCCAGCAGACTATGATTATGATATGCCATGGCAGGAGGGATCTCGTCTGGTTTCGTCTCATAAAATCTGTACAAATTGACAATGCTAATGGGGCAGCGGAAATCGGGCATTAGCCATCCCATAATTTGCATAAGAAATCAGTCTGGATTTTAAGGATGGACAATTAGATGCCCAGACACGTTCCCCAGACGCGTGAATACAGAGCACTTTGGTTACTTACTTGGGCTTAAGTAACGGAGGTAGAAGATCTTGACTTGGCTTGGAGCACTTAACGGCCAAATGCAATGGAACCGCTTTTGCAAACACACGCCCGTTCGAGCCAATGGAGAAAGGCTTGAGGAAAAAAATAAAAAATAAAACGAGAAAAGAAAATTATATGCAACGAAATTTCTTCCTGGCCAGTATCTGGCAAAACTGGTCCACCGTGACCCACTAAAGCCTTTACTTTTTTTTTCCTCGAAAAAATCAGCCACCGAAAGCTGACTTTAACACCACTGTGTGCGCAGTAGGTAAGTATGGACCCGGTCTCTTTTCTCTGCGTCACGTTTAATTCTTACTTCCGCTAATTGCTTTTAAAATACCTCAAGAACTCATCATCGCAGGTATAAGCGTGTATTTTTAGACTGTGTGTAAAAAAACCTTTACTCGCAACTTTCACTTAGCTGAAAAGAGTTAATACAAAAGAAGGAAGATAAGATACTTGGCCAATTACTGATTAAGAGTGAGTTCATCCCATGTTTTTAATTAATTTTAAGTATGATTAATAAGTATTAAAACCATATGATTATTTTTAATTTTTGCCCTCATTTAATTGAGTTTTCCTGTTTTCCACAAGGGTTAACTGCTCTGGCTGAATGCGTTTTTGGCAACTGAACAAGATCAACAAAAAAAGACGGCCATAAAATGGTGCTAGCACGGCTTCATTGGTTTTGCGGTTAAAATGTTGCAACAAGAACAGGCAAAGCCACAAAATGTTTAACTTTAACAAAGAATTGTAAGAAATACAGCTTTAAGATCGAAGCTTTAAATACCCTTAAAAGTATTACACAAAAAGGTAGCAACTTTTCAGGGAACATTTAAACAGAAAACCCAAAATGATATTAAAAAGAATTCTAGCAAACTAATATAAAGAATGAAATAATACAATATAATAAGATATAATATATAATATAATATAATATTTATAATATATATAATGTATAATACAATAAGAAAAAATATGTAGAAATATACCCCTTTAATTTATGTTGTTTACTTAAATACTTATTTCTAATTAATGATATATTAATTCTATTTTTTTAATAAATATGAGACAATGTAGAAGCTTTGCTCTACTCAATAAGAATAGTGTGTTTTGGATGATCATCAGCATCTTTACTAAAGAATCTTCTGTTAATATCGGATTCTCTATTATTCCTAGACCCAAAAATAAACCTTTACCAAATTCTTAATCTGAACTTTACCCACTTTTGGCCAACTTTAATAATACCCTTTGATGCAGTCATTCAAGCCCAACAAAACGACAGAAAACTGGCGAATCTATAAAAATGCAAATTAGAAGAGCCGCAAGAAGAAACACAAACAGCATCTCTTGAAACTGGAACGAACCAAGACTGTGATTCAGAGACCCCAACTTCGACTTAGACTCCAACTTAGACTCCAATTCCGATTCGGATTCAGATTGTGGGGCCACAGATAAACGCTATTCGTGCTATTGCCTCTGGGCTGCTTCAAGTTGCAAGACCGTGTGATCTATGGGCTGGCCAGCCCAATTGGTCAGCAAAGAAGCAATTTGGGTTAACTGCAGCTGCAACACGCTCTTGCCAATCGTAGAAGGAGCTCTTGCCAATTAATTGTGCGGAAATCTGCGAGGCGCGTCATAAAAATACTGTCGCTTTTTCAACTCTCTTTCACCGGTCTTTGATGTAAAGTTGTTCCTCTCTGAAATGGAAGGTGCACCTGCAACGCAGTTAGATCCACAGGAAAAGTAGGTAAAAAATAATCCTATCATTAAGCTTTATTTCAGAAGCCGCTTAAGTCCAACGTCTAAGGAGTTTCACTTTTTAATTTTGTTTAGAGTTTAAAGGATCTCAACTGTTGTCTGTTTAAAGGTATATTTAAATCACAGATTATGAATATTCATATAAAAATTTACATACTACCTGTAAAATCTATAGCATATATATTTTTTCTCTGTGCATGTTGGACCGGAGGCATTCTGGCGTGCAAACCTTGACCATGAAACACGCTTGCTCGCCGGCAAAACGATGACGTGCCCATAAAAGCGACCGGCAACAATCCTAAACATTTTCCTGGCAATTAAGAGCCACAGAAAATTAGTTAGAAATTGAAATTGCTTAACTGCCTGGCTTGGCGTTCGTTTACAAGAGCCATGGAGCCGTATTCAGGTCCACCTTCGAGAGTGAACGATGGTCAATGGCATTCGCTCGGAGTGCAGGTTGTGCAAGCCCACTTTATGCGACAGTTACATCTATATATGCGCTGTAAACGGGTTTTTGTCTGGCCAAAAACAAAAACACAAAAAAATAAAAACAACAAAAATAAAAATAATAATAATAAACACAGCAAAAGCACCGTTTTGGACCGGCCTCCAAGGCATGGAGCCATTGCCGGTCTGGTCTGTCAATTAGCAGCGGAGCGACATGACAGTGCACTGAACTTGTTACGCTTTAAATTGTTGATAAGCCAACTTGCTACTGTTTATGATTTGTTAATATTTTCACTCACTGGCGACACACTGTACGGTTTTTGGCCATTAACCCAATTTTTTTGGTACATTCCACCCACAGACACAGAATTTTTGGCACACAAATTAAATACGACCTGTTCCCTGACATTAATTTAATTAAATATTTTTGCATTTATTAGAATTTAGTCTGTCACCAGATGGCAACAATTAATTATTGCTTAATTCAACTGCTAATATGTTTAATTCAATTAGTTCAACGCTGCCATTATTTAATTAAAGTATGATATTTGCTAATTGGCCGCACTTGACTGTTCATGCTGCCCATAATTAGCAATATTCTAATAAATATATATTAATCTCTGCTAAATGATATGGCTTTATTTTCAGGGGTAAGACTATGATGATATAGCAAAAAATATAGATAAACACTTGTCACGATTTGTAGAGAGGTCTTAAGTCGAGCTAGAGTGGGTTTGAATTGTAATAAGCATATTTATTAAGCTAGAAACAAAAAACATAAGAATTTTACACAACCTCATTTAGCGGTGTCATATTAAAATAAATAAGTTAATTATTACTCAACTCTAGATTGAATATCTTAAAAAAAATGTCCTGGAGTGCCGTGAAAAAGAACATTTTAAATAAATTAATTAAATTCTTTAAGAATTTATTGTTTTCTAACCATTCTTATAAAGACAGATTGTAAATAATATAAAAACCAAATGGAATACATCTCAAAATCTGCCCTCAATATAGACCTCATAAATTAAATGTATTTTTATTAAAATTTTTTCCTGAACATAATATATTATAATTTTCTCAAATATTTTAATGTAAGGGCAACATAACTTAATTAATAATATGAATCCCCTTAAATCTAGCTAATTTTATAATGTAACTCAAAAGATGCTCCTCAACAAGTATCTCACGCATTTTTGTTCTGAATTATTTAGGTAACACAACATTGTTAATGCACATATAGTATGTTTTATAGACTATGTAAATAAATATGCGTGATCATTACGTTCCTATAAATAACTCAAAATTCCGCTCTCTTAAAGATGCTTACTTGCAAAATAACAAAACTATTCCCATATCTCTGCTCAAAGACCAGAAGTTCAGTGGGTTAAGCGTCGTGCTCGGTCCAGCTGATTAGAGATTAGTGATATATCATCCGAATGCTGTGATATTCCAGAGAGGCACGATCTGCTCTTCTCCTACCGACTGGGAGCAATGGGAGAGAAAAAACCATATATAATGCCATTATATACTATATATACATACCTTCGTGTGGCTGTGACAGATGTGCGTGATTGTTTATATGGAGAGGAGGAGCATGTGGAATCAGCAAATCGAAAAGAGCAGTTGTGTTTGGTTTGCGGAGCTGCCAAGAGCGGGAAGAACGCGGACGATGAATAAAATATTTGGTATAGTCTGTGCACTGGGACTGCTGCTCATATCTGCAGTGCCCGGATGGGGACAATCCATGGAAAACACCACCGAGGTGACCCCAACGACACCCACTCCGGCATCAACAACCACAGCAGCAGCTCCTGTGGCACCCAAACTCCTGGTGGCAATACACTATGAAGCCCTATGTCCCGACAGTATGTACTTCATCCGACGCCGACTTCATGATGCTCTGCTGGATAACAACTGGTGGCCAATCACGGATCTCAAGTTATATCCTTTTGGCAAGGCGGGGGTGAGTACAATCGAGTTGTATGAATATAGTTATATAATCTTTGGTACTATGATCATTAAAAAATATATTTCTATAAGAAATTTGTGTTTTACTGCTTTAAGTATATATAATATTGTGAAATATTTCTATGGATATTTCTTTTATTTCACCTAACGTATATTCCAAAACATCTGTATTTACACTCTACTAATGAGTTAACAAATCAACAAACTCAAGCACTTTTGTGAAAGTGTTTTGCTAGAAGTTATAACTTTAATTTAATGCCATTAAGCACGAATTTAATGTGTTTTCAAAATGTTCAATAATGTTTAAATAATAGCAAAATTACAAAGCTAATTACCTTTATATTATTAAATAAAATATTAAAAGAAATTATGCGTAAAACGATTCATAAAAACCATATAAAACCTTATCTTTAAATTTTGTTGGGATTTTCTCTTGGTATTCAGCAATATTTTATTATTTACAATGATAAGTTTCTTAGAAAAAAAATTCTGTGAATTTTTTATAAACTCATTTGTATGCAAATAATTTACAGAAATAATTCTGATAGCTTGTAATTGGTTTTTTCAACCGTTTTACTTCATAAACAATTCTCAGAAAGTCTTACATATTGTAAAAATAAATACCTTATGAATAATATATGATTATATTAATTTGTTGATTGATTTGCTCCTTTCCCAGTTCTACAATGATACATCCTCGGGTGAGATGCAAGTATTCTGCCAGCATGGAGAGAACGAGTGCGAACTGAATGCCCTTCATGCCTGCATCATTGAGACACAGGATATCCAGAATGCCTTCCGGTTGATCTATTGCATGCTGAGATCCTACGGAAACCAACTTGACAAGTGCTCCAACCACTTGGGTTTGGATGTGAGCAAGGCCAGGCAATGCAAGGACTCGCGCAAGACACCCGAGATCCTAGCTCCCTATGGCGAGGAGACCCTGAAACTGGGCCTATCCTTTGTGCCCAGCATTGTGTTTGAGAATGTGAGTAGTTTTGGTAGTAATTATCTAGAATTACAATTAATTTTACCCTTTAATATTCAGGACTTTGATCCCTATGCCCAGAGCAGTATTCGTTACAATTTCGAGTCGCACTTTTGCAAGCAATACTTGAAAAAGTTCAATATCAAACTGCCCACTTGTACCTAATTTTAATACACCAAACAAATATATATGATGAGTAATGTTTTTTAATGTGCAAAACCTAATAAATTATAATTACACTCTGCAGTACTGTCTCGAAAGCTGTTTGCCTGTGTGCTGACTCAAAACTCTTGAGGTGATATAAGTGAAAATTTAAATAGATCTTCTTATCGGACACATTATGGTACACAGATGCTAATCGGTAACAACTAAAAATAAGATTAAATCCCTGCCTGCTGCTTTCTGCTGTCCAGCTTCCGAGTGGTAATTGCTCTCTGTGTTTGCTCTAATCAGCTGAGGTTTTCGATGGCTTTGTTTTGGACTGACGCAGGCGGACACACACACAGCATGGGACCCGAAGGGGAAATACTCGCCGCCACCCGCCAGGGGCACCAATGCAGGGGGTCGTCTCGGATCAGGGGCACCATTTTCCCAAATGAAAGCCAGCTGTAAAAGCGTTCCACAGTAGTTTCCACACAAATTAAAAAAATGGGAATGGTTAATAAACCAAGTTAGAGTCATAAAAATTAATTTGAACTAACAAAAAACACATTGGTTTTTAACTGCATTTTTATTAATTTTTTAATATTTATATTTTAAAAACATAACATTTGAATTATTAGAAATGAGTCCCCTGACTCGTGTTGTTATAAACAAGAAAGAAACTTGCACTTAGCCATAGGATAATGGGTTCGAATTTGCTATCGATCATAATATAACATAACATAACATTAATTTTAATGTCTAATTTGTATTGACTTTAATTTTTAAATGGTATTTTAATTGCACATCGAAATATATGTCTTTTGGCTTTTTGGACTTTATATACCACAAAGAAAACCTGTATTGTAGTTATATTAAATCTGAACTTTTATAAGCTACTATTTTTGGTTAAATTAAAATCTTAAAAAAATCATAACTAAGCTAAAAATGCATTAATCTCAATTCTTTTTTATGCTAGTTTTTATACTGCTAACAAATCTACATACTGCATTTTAAGTTTGAAAAATAATAATTTTTTTTGTAAAATTTTAACGATGTAAAAATCCCATATCCCAATTTAAAAAAAAATTCGAAAACTTTCTTTCCCACCAGACATAACTAGATCGATTCGGCTGCTGATTCTGATCAAGAATATATATGATTTATAGGGTCGGAAATGATTCCTTCACTGCTTTCCAAGCTTCTGACTAAAATTACGATACCCTAAAAGGTTATTAAAATTGGTATGTAATAATGTTTATTTGAAATATTAGTCAAACTTGAAATTTTTTTATATATTCAAAATTGAATCTCTGTTATTATAAACATGATGTTTGTTTCTTAAAGAAAAGTAGAGGAAAAAGAGAGGAGGTGGTCTTCCAATTTCGAAATACTTGCACCCCCTTTAAGAGTAGAACACCCACAGCGCCTCTGGTCGCCTTGTAATCAGGGGAACGTAGCTACTACGTCCCGTCTATAACGAATCCAGACTTTATTTTAGTGTTGAGCGGTCACTGGCGTGGAGCAGCCGAGATTTTTCAAGATCAGAAAATTAAGCAAAAATTAAACTGAACCTGAACCATGAAGGCGTTCGTCTTTGTTTGCCTGCTGATGATGGGATTGATGGGTGTGGCCATGCCAAGGGTAAGTGACCCAGTTGAGCTTTGATTCCGAATAATGACGATCATCTGGAGGGACTTTGCAGCGTCATCATTCAGCTCAGAGCAACAGACTACCTGTCACGTTGTACTATGAGGCCCTGTGTCCGTACTGCATGGATTTTGTTACCACGAAATTGGGTCCCTCGATGCTTCGACTGAACCGCTTGCCATTCACGGATCTCAAACTGGTTCCCTTTGGAAATGCCAGGGTGAGTTACTTGAAATATTAAAAGCCATATTAGACCGCTAATACCTCGGATAATCCTCTCAATTGACAGCATGACGATGATGGGGACGTAGAGTGCCAGCACGGAGTGAATGAGTGCGAACTGAATGCTTGGCATGCCTGCATCCTGGAGCACCATGAGATTAAGGAATCTCTGAAGCTGATTGCCTGCATGATGCGTGGCAAGAAGAACCGGCTGGACAAGTGTGCTGCCCGCTACAAGATCAACGTGGATGATGTCAAAAACTGCAAGCAAACGCGGGATGTGAACGATATCTTGGATAAGTACGCCGTGGAAACGGCCAAGGTTTCATTTGAAGGAGTTCCCGCCGTTGCTCTTGATAACGTAAATATTCAAAAATATTAAAGGTACCAAATATAAATTTAACTTTGTGGTTCCTATAGGTATATAATCAAGACTTATCAGCGAATTTAACCGACCATTTTGATGCCATTTTTTGTGAGAAGTATAAGGAAAAATTTAATAAAGTCCTAGACAACTGTCAATAAATACATGTACCGTCCACCATTGAAGAATTTTCTGGTTTTCTTCAACTAAAAAAAAAAACAATAAAAATATATAACAAAACATGCATTTAAAAATAAACACATTTATTTGAAAACAAATATTGAAGTTGAGGTGAAACAATACAACGATTGGTATTCTTATTGATGATATTAAACACAGAATTTTATTTTAAAACTTCGTGAATTCGAATTATATATACCCTTCCCTTCCAAATATATTTATTACACTATTTATTAAGCAAATCAAAGTATCTGAAACTTAGACCAAAGCCAAAAATGCATTATTTTTAATTTGGAAAGCTTTCCTATGCTAGTTTTTATTGGTTTGACAAATCTGCATACTCAATTTAAAATTTTAAGAAATTCAAATTTTTATCAATTTTTAAGATTCAAATTTTGCACCTTATATAATTGTGAAAATTTTGAAAAACATTAATTTTTGTCGGACATAGCTAGATCGACTCGGCTGTTGATGCTGATCAAGAATATATATGATTTATAGGGTCGGAAATGACTTCTTCAATGTTTTAAAGCTTCGGAGTTATTTTATAATACCATTTTTGAGTTGATTTATATCACTATTTTTATATATAATTTTTTTTACAAATCAAAGCCTAAAAAACACATAACTAAGTCAAAAAAGCATTAATTTAAATTCGAAAAGCTTTCCTGTGCTAGTTATTATTATTAGTTATTGGGTTGAAAAATGTGCATACTCCATTTAAAATTTTAAGAAATTCAAATTTTTATCAATTTTTCAAGATTCAAATATCAAATTTTACACCTTATAAAATTGTGCAAATTTTGAAAAAATTTATTTTTTGTCGGACAAAGCTAGATCGACTCGGCTATTGATGCTGATCAAGAATATATATTAATTATAGGGTCGGAAATGACTCCTTCAGAGTGTTACAAGCTTTTGCCTAAAAATCTAATACCTTAGAAGGGTATAAATATATATTAAAATAATTATTTTAAATATTTGTATGTAAGAACTTATTTTAAATATGTTTATAAGATCTCTTGATTTCCAACACACACTGAATGATAAAAATTAAATAACATATTACTCCAAGTATAACTTTAAGATATATTTCCATGGAAATATCACAAACTCCAAAGAGACTGACCCTAAAGGGATACAAATTTAGTTGAGTGGCAAATCCATCCACCTAAATAGAGAGAAAATATTAGACTTATTTAATTAAATACTTAAACAAAGCACTTACCAATCTTTGCAAGTCTTTGTGCTCCTCAAAACAGCACATTTCAGACAGTATCGGCCGGATGCCTTTAAACTGATTTCTGGCTCCTTCAACAACTAAACTGATAAGTAGAAAATCACTTTGAATTTTTAGGAATATGGACCACATCATAAGGTCACACAAGTCCAAGTCGCATATCATTTTATAGGAAAAAACAGCGAAAGAAAGTAGATTCTGCATCAGGCAAAGGGAGAGGCATAAATTAAACATATCCTGGAAACTGAAGACCATATCATTAATCTCTCTGTAAAGCCTCATGGTCTCCTCTAATATTTGATATCCTTGTTGATTTCTCATATTTCGTATCTGACGCCTGGCATATTTGTTAACCATGGCGTACAGAATACCGACATATAAGTACCAGACAATATTGATTCGTATAATTACTTGACTGATCATAATGACATAATAAAGGCACAAACTTCCAATTATATTTTCAATCATGAATTCTTTTAGAATAATAAGAATTAATTCCGAGACGAAGGATAGCAGGGTTAGTATTATGAATATCAACTCTCGTTTGCCCCCAATACCCATATTTCTTTGGAGTGGCAGAGCTCTCACATGCGAGAAGAGTCGAAGGATTTTGTTGACCAACTCAATGACCGAATTTCCGTGGAAATGCTGCAGCCCGATAATCCATAAAAAACAGGGAATGGAGAAGACAAGGTAGATGGAATGCAGCAGCAACTGGATCAAGTCCTTTACGTCCACGATCCAAAGAAGGTACATATACAGATAAACGATAAGGGGCAATAGTCGAAAAATCACCGAAAGCCACTTCTGCCAGGATCGATGACCAAAACAACTCTCCATCTCCATGTGACCACGCTCTGTGGTTTTTGATCGAAAGTGGACTATGCCCACAAGTAGTGCTAATTTAAGCATTCCTCGCAGGAGAACAGCGGACACTTTTGAAGGTCTCATTTTTCGAAGGACTTAACTTGGACTGAGTTAAAAATTGGTTCGCCCCAAGGAGCATTTATTTAATTCCGATAGATAAATAGATATTTGAATGTCTGCTGGCTTTGACAAGTTGTTGGTGAAGTAATTTACCCTTCATGACAAAGCTATGACAGATTATCAAAGTTTTAATCTTAGCGAGCTGAAGACTTGTTGACATTCATAGAGCTGAAGACTTATTTTATTCCCTACCAAGCTCTATCCATATAATCCACATAACTTAAATAGAAACAATTTGTAGCCTCAAATTATGTTAAACTAAATAAACTCTCTCAAAACCACTTTAGCATATTTGTATATTTTATTTATATTTTACTACGAATTATAAATTGCACATATAAGATATGATGTGAATAATAATGTAGCCTTAGATTAGGTAATACATTTAATTATGTTTTAAGGAATTCTATTGAACCTTTCGATTAGTAATAACAAACAATTAAGAAACTCGACAATCATGACGAAATCGCTAACAAGAATATGATTTAATAAATATTTTTAGTCCTCCTTGGAGAGACTTCCCAGGTCACTGAGGAAAACTTCAGGGGATAATATGTGCGAGGAGCCTACTAAGACCTCCCAGTTGCGAACCGTATTGGTTACTTCATAGGCGCACCTCATTTCGGACATGCTGACGCCCCCCACAACAAAGATGATCAGCCTGGGGACGTTCTTCACCTGTGCCTGGGCCTTGTCCTTGTGCCAGTGGCCATATCGGGCACTCGTGGGTGCATGGTAGTTGGTGTTCTGCGCACGGCCCTCGAGGAAGGGGAAGTGACGAGTATCCAGCTTATCCTCAATGCAGTCCTCCATTATGTCCTTGATCACAGGGGTCCAACGGGACATCTGATAGGTGCTCTCGGTAATTCGCTCCTTTCGCGGAACATTGTAAACCTTTTTGCGCGAGTCTGCAATAACATTGATTCCCAAATAGCTAAGATTACGGACCATATCCTGGTCTTTGGGCGACAATTGTGCGTGCGTGAATAGCTTGGTCAGGTTTTCCTCGGAAATTCCGTTCTTGATCATCACATAAAGAGAAATAATGCGAACCTTGTCATAGTTCGATACGTTCGCATCCAAAAGGATGGGCACAATGTTGCGCATATGATCCTTAATCTTCTCGCCTTCGGCGTCCGTGCCCATTGCCAGGTCCTGTTCCACTCGGCACAGTTTGTCCACATAGTTCTGGTATGACTTCATGCAGTGCTCGGCCAAATGCAAATGGGTGGAGTACTTGGACAGCTCCTTCTGGTACTGCGGCATCTTCTTGATCATCTGGGACAGGTCGCGCATCGAGGACTTATCAGTTGAGCTCATCCGCTTGGAGTCGGTGAATTTCTTTAGATTCTGAGTGACCTGGGTGGATACAACAGCAATGTGCTCGTGACGCAGCTCCACCCACAGATCGTCATTTTCGTCAAGTAACACCTCCTTATCGGGCTGGTTCGGCCCGGGAGTGTAGCGATAGACGTCATTGACAATCGGCAGCAGATCGTAGGCCATGGCCTGCAGGGTGAGCTCGTGCAGAAGAGGCGACACACAGTCAAAACCACGGTCCAGGATCAAGAGCTGGGAGCGGGCCTTCTCCGGTCCCTCGCCCATGGTGGGTTCGTCAGCCTTGTAGGCGTCCAGCTTCTGCTGCACCGATGCAGCCAGATCGATGTTCCGCTCCCAATCGCTGCGGTAACGCACATTCGGGTATTCGCCCAAGGTGGCGCACAGCGTAGCTATCTGCTCAGCGATGCGTTCGATGTGCTTGCTCCGGATGGAGGAGAAGGCCGGAGAGTACAGGATCTGGAACGTGTCCGGGGAGTCCAGCGAATATACCTGACACTCGTACGGCAAAAACGCAACGTTAATCTCCTTCAGGGTCTTGATCTTCCGGGCGGCGCACGACTTGCAGAGGTCGTTGAACAACTCCTCCGGGCAGACCTCAGTGAAGAAGACATGAGCATACCTATACATGGGACGCGCAGGGTTCTCAAAGTCTCGTATCAGCCCTCGCACTGATTCATCGGACGGTGTAATAAGATAGATGGCGTCCATGGTGGGCAGCGGCTCGCGCTTCTTATTGATGTCCTCCACCAAGGTGATTCCCTCGGCGCTGATGTCGTGCATCTTGGTGCAGGCAGACACCATGCGCATCCCCAGCTTGTCCACCACCAGGACACGCCACTCCGTCTCCCCGGATCCTCCAGCCTTTGGCAGCTTGTTGGTGGGTTGGTTTTTCGGCGGCGGAGGCTTGTACTTCACAACCTCGTTCATGATCTTCTGGCCCACTAACACTTTCAATGCCATTTTAGCTGCAACTGGATTTATTAGTCACCACGAAGAGAACTTTTTTAAGGGGCTTATATAGCGGTGGGATCGTAGTTTCGATGGTCCCAAGGAGATTTTTCGTACTCTCCAGATACTTTACAGGTGGGATAAGGACTGTATGCCAAACGGTGGAGTTAAATAATTATATTTGTGGGTGTTTTTCGTTTTGGTTTCGACTTGTTTTTTTTTTTTACTCTCACTCTTTTGATATCCAGAATAATGACTCAGCGTGGCCAGATGGTATAAATGAAGTCATTGTTGATATATACAATTTTAATACCAACTCCATAAAAGTATGAAAACAAACAAATAAAATACAATTTTAATAATGCTATTTAATAAACGGATTTAGCTAATACGGTTCTATTTATTAATTAATATTTACATGTTCACGTAAATTCATTTATATTTGCGTACTACAAATATTTTTAAAGTGGGTGTTCCCTTGGTATTTTCTGGTATATTTCCTTAAATCGATGACTGGTTTGCGCGACCCAGCAACGGTCCCACTGGTCAAGATTCGCAACACGCGACGAAACAATTTTCTCAATTTTTTCGTCATTTGCTGGTTTTTTCTTAAATATCGAAAACAATCAATCACTGAAAGGTGAGCCCAAGCAAAGCGCGAGATGAGCGAGACCATAAACACCGCGGCGCAGTTCCCGACCTTCGAGAAGCCGACCGTGCAGTTCAACGAGAAGGGATGGGGACCCTGCGAGCTGCCAGACACCTTTAAGGATGTGCCGTACCAGCCGTTCAGCAAGAACGATCGCCTGGGCAAGATCTGCGACTGGACGAACACCTCCAACAACGACAAGAAGTACCAGAGTGAGTAGGGAGTTACCAAACTGACGCACTTTTGCCGCAGCCCGGCAAAAGTGAGGTTATGTGTGTGTGTCGTGGCAGCTTGGTTAATTTTCATCTTTTCCCCGCAGACAAGTATGCCTCCAGCTTCGGAACTGGCAACCAGTACTCGTATTACCATGAGGAGGACGAGACAACCTTCCATTTGGTGGACACGGCCCGCGTCCAGAAGCCGCCGCACCAGCGCGGCCGCTTCCGCAACATGCGTAACTCGCGTTCTGGACGCGGCAGGAATGCCCGTGGCGGTATCAATACCCACGGCATGACCACGCTGAGCGGCAAGAACGTGAAGGCCCGTGATCCACGTCGCGGCATGGGCAAGAAGTTCGGCAACCGCGGACCGCCGCCCAAGATGCGTGAGTCTTCGGTGGCTGTGCGCGCCGATTGGGCCTCCATCGAAGAGATGGACTTCCCGCGGCTTATCAAGCTGTCGCTGCCCAACATCAAGGAGGGTGTGGATATCGCCACCTGCGGAACATTGGAGTACTACGACAAGACCTACGACCGCATCAACGTCAAGAACGAGAAGCCGCTGCAGAAGATCGACCGCATCGTGCACACGGTGACCACCACTGACGATCCTGTCATCCGACGTCTGTCCAAGACCGTCGGCAACGTCTTTGCCACTGACGCCATCTTGGCCACCATCATGTGCTCGACTCGTTCCAACTACTCATGGGACATCGTTATCGAGAAAGTTGGTGAGTTGATTTAAAGCCAACTTTCCCAAACTACTCCTTTATACACTAATATCCTCCTTTTTAAGGCGACAAGATCTTCATGGACAAGCGTGACCATACTGAGTTCGATCTTCTGACCGTGAATGAGACCAGCGTCGAGCCCCCAACCGACGACGATAGCTCTTGCAATTCTCCTCGAAACCTGGCCATCGAGGCCACGTTCATCAACCACAACTTCAGTCAACAGGTGCTAAAAACCGGCGACCAAGAGGCCAAGTTTAAGTTTGAGGAGAGCAATCCCTTCATCAGTGAGGATGAGGATATCCAGGTGGCCAGTGTGGGCTATCGTTACAAGAAATGGGAGCTCGGCAGCGATATTGTAAGTCATTTTTAATCCAGAAAACCACTGACCTACTTAAATTATAATATCTATAAATCCCTTTAGGTTTTGGTGGCTCGTTGCGAGCATGATGGCGTTCTGCAGACGCCCAGTGGTGAGCCGCAGTTCATGTCCATCAAGGCCCTCAACGAGTGGGACTCTAAGCTGGCTAACGGCGTCGAGTGGCGTCAGAAGCTGGATACCCAACGCGGTGCTGTGCTGGCCAACGAGCTGAGGAATAACGCCTGCAAGCTGGCCAAGTGGACGGTTCAGGCCGTGCTGGCTGGTTCCGATCAGCTGAAGCTAGGCTATGTGTCGCGTATCAATCCAAGGGATCATTCCCGCCACGTTATTCTGGGCACGCAGCAGTTCAAGCCACACGAGTTCGCCACCCAGATCAACCTGAGCATGGACAACGCCTGGGGTGTCCTGCGTTGCATTATCGATCTGGTCATGAAGCAGAAGGACGGCAAATATCTAATCATGAAGGATCCCAACAAGCCGATCATTCGCCTTTATGACATCCCTGACAACACATTCGACTCCGATGACTCGGACGATGGCGAGGGCGATGATGGCGAAGCTTTCCAGCAGGTCTACAACTACGCGAACAACGGAAACAAGATTTAGATTACACGCCCCCAATCAATTCGTACCCGCTTACCTTAACAACTATCGATGCCCTCTGGAGTAAACTGCCCTTTTCTAGGCATTAGTTTTAAGCATTTGTATTTGAGTTGTAGCCAGCTGATTCCTAGTAAAGAGCAAAGGGCGAAACAATCTTAACTTTTTAATGGGTGCAGGCTCCATTTAATCGAAATGGAGTGCATTTTAATAAGAATGAATTAGTTCACTTAGGGGACAATTTTGTCTTTGAAGGTGGACTTAATTATACGGCAGACCCAGTTTTTTCCCCGAAGAATTCTCAAAGGATTTGTGTTTTTGACCTTAGTGATCCCATTAAGATGAGACCCCGGGAACATATACGACCCTTTGTTTTTCCTGTTTTTAACACCATAAAAAAAATAAAACGCTTGGAGAATCCCACACAAAATGTAAATATGTCTAGCGATATTAAAACGTCATGACCAGGTTTTCTGAGAATAACCGGTTAAGAGAAGAGTGACTTAACGCAACTGCATCTATATGCGATCCAAGGAGAGCAGATAAATGTTAGATAGGTGTCGAAGGGTGGTGAGCTGGATGGGTTTGGCCCTGATAATTTCCACAATTGGCAAAAACTGGGAAAACTCTGCTCGTATCAGTGTGCAGTTGCCCGCCATCTGGAGCCACCTTTGACCCATTGGCAATGGAATAAAGAGATAACGCTCGAGATAATCGTAGTCGATGCAGCGGGAGCGGTAGCGATTAAGCTGAACTTAAACCGATCCGCCTGCCGGAGAACTTTGTTAGTCTCAGCCTGAAACCCGCAGCGACGAGATGGTGACTATGGAGCGGAAAATCCTAATGCTGGTGATGCTGATCAGCACGTTAGCCGGCATGAACGTAGGAGCGGGTGAGTGAAACTCTACTCTAAAGTGAGATGTATCCACACATACCCCCGAAGTTGGGTACGAGAAATTTAGGTACATATTTATAGTTAATTTATAATCAATTATCGTTCAAACATCATGTGTGCGCTCCACGGCGAACCGGTTTAATCTCCGTTGAACTGCAACGCAATTACTCTTCATTTTTATAGATGCCGCACAGATTAGCTTCGGCACCTGTACACCCCAGCAGAGTGAGGAACGAGGTCAGTGCGTCCATATAGCGAGCTGTCCTTATCTGGCCGACATCCTGAAGGCAAGCCCCCAGACAGCCGCCCAGCGAGAGCTGCTCTCCAAGAGCCAGTGCGGCCTGGACAACCGACGGCAGCAGACGGATCTTATGAACCGCATCCTGGTATGTTGTCCGCAGAGCAAGCGGGGTGTCAGCGGAGCGCAGGAAGCCTCAGATGCGGACGGCCAGCAACCTGGAAATGTGCTGCCCGGAACAGATACATGCGGATTCCTATTCGGTGATCGCATTGTTGGTGGTACCAATACAACGCTCTGGGAATTCCCTTGGATGGTGCTACTGCGGTATAAAAAACGTGAGTAGATTATTTTCAAAGGTCATTTCTCATCATCAAAAATAAACAAGTTGAAAATAAATTATTAAATAGATTTGTTTTGTTGTGGAATAGCAAATATAATCCTCTATTTGATCTTGCTTGCAGTATTCCCTGAATCTTTTAGTTTCAATTGCGGCGGCGCCTTGATTAACTCCCGCTACGTACTGACCGCCGCCCACTGCCTGGCCAGCGATGATCTGGATAAGTCGGGACTGGTCCTGAACAGCGTTCGCCTGGGTGAGTGGGACACACGCACAGATCCCGACTGCGAGACCCAGACGAATGGCAAGCGCGTCTGTGCCCCCAATCACATTGACATCGAGGTGGAGAAGGCCATCCTCCACGAGCGGTATGTTCCCAACTCTGTGGATCAGAGGAACGACATCGCACTGCTCCGTCTTAAGCGAAGTGTAAGGTAAGCGGATCATAGCACATCCTTCGCCTTCCAGATGCTTACTCTAAAGTATTTCCCGTCCACAGCTTCACCGATTACGTGCGACCCATCTGCCTGCCAACCGACGAGGATTTGCGAAAGAACCTTTTTGTTGGATACACCATGGATGTGGCCGGGTGGGGACTCACCGAGAACATGCTGCCAAGTCCGACAAAGCTGAAGATTTCGGTGGGCGTGTGGAACCTGACCGAGTGCCAGGATAAGTACACCACTTTCCAGGTGCATCTAAACAATTCCCAGATGTGTGCTGGCGGTCAGTTCAAGGTTGATACCTGCGGCGGCGATTCGGGGGACCCTTAATGGCATCCATTGGCACAGGCGGTGGACGAGAGGTCTTTTACATCGCCGGCATCACCTCGTACGGAACACGTCCGTGCGGCCTAAAGGGCTGGCCAGGTGTATATACCCGTACCGGGGACTTTATCGATTGGATACAAGAGAAATTGGAGGCATAATAAATAAAATTGCTAATTTATTCACATAATCGCATTGGCTAGCTTACACTATTACGTACACTGAGCAGAAGGGGCACGGATAGACTAACTAAGCTAAGCTCTAGTGGAATGCCAATTATAGCGCAACAGCGCTAGCATAAACAGAGATTCGTTAGACCGGACCAGGTAACGGGCAAACACATCGGAACAATTCACTAGATACAAAGATGCTTGATTAACTTGTTTTGCGCTGGCAACTAAAAATAAATAAAATTGACTAACATTACATTGGGTGCATGCTAGCGCCATAAATATGAAGCGTATTATCGTTTTCATGTTTTTTTTTTCATTTTGTTTTTTTCATGAAAAAATAATAAGCAATAAATTTAGAAAATTCATTTAACTAACAGGCTGGCTTCGTGCCAGCAATTCGAGTGGAGAAAAATTCGGCATTTAAGATTGGGTATAAAACGCTGCTGCCCTTTGCCAAGGCGGCAAAAGTCTTGAGTTCTTCGAATAGGCACCAATTTCACAGGCATCGACACAGGCGGTTATGAATGGCACTCAGACCTCCTCCGGAGCGGCACGCGGCGCAATTCCCATTCCCGTTGCCGCTGCAACTGCCGTCTCGATGCCGTTTTGTTCACTCTTCGCCGGAGCCGCCCCCAAAGCTGCCAGCTCACTTCTCAGCTGATCCAGCACTCCCTTGAACGCAACACAGAAGCCCCGGCTACAGGGAAGGAGCGGAAATTCTGGCATCTCGCAGGGCGCCTTTAACTCGTCGTTCACATCTGAGAGAACCGAACTAGTAAATCACCATATAAACACTTTTTTATCGAGGCTTACCCTTGATATCGCTTATCTTCTGACGCTGCTCCTCCGCCGAGTACTCCGACCAGGCTTGCATGCGTCCGACCAGCTCGCCACCAAACTCCTTAAAATGTTCGATTAATTCGTTGCGAAAAATGGGCGGTGGATTCTTCAGCTGTTTGACCGTGGAGCGGGCAATCTTAATGATAGCCATCTCGTTGTAGACACGAGAGTTCTCATTGCCCAATTGGGTGCCTGCACAAAGTAAATAAGGTATAAGAAAACTAATAATTTCTTTAAACATTTAACAAAATACCTCTTTGTTTCTCGTAGCCCGCCTCATTATAGTAGGGCTCATCGACCAGTATGAGACCCTGTATGGAGACGAGCACCTGCAGCATGGTGCTGCTAGGGGACCACACCTCGGTGTCGCGTCCAGACCACGTTCCAAGCAGCGACACGCAAACCTTGCCCTCCTCGTACAGGTTCGGATTGAGGCGCTCCGTGCAATAGCTGAGGTAATGACACACGGGCGGGTTCTTCGGGTAGTCGCGGCCCATTTGAAAGTCGAAGAAGAAGAGGGCGTTCTGGTAAGGCGTACGCTTCGGACCCACCATCATAACCGACATTAGGTCCATGCGATCCTCGTAGGCACGTACCACCACGCCGGGCGGCAGGGAGGCCTGCAGCATGCGGTATTCCCTTTGCACTGCGCGCTGATAGTAGGACTTGTTGGCGGGGGCTATTATGTGGCCGTAGAAGTGATGTGTCGGCGGTGCATTGGACAGCACTTGGAAGCAATCGTCGGAAACGGGTGGACTGGGATTGGAAACTGTGGCTAGCGAAGGCGATGAACAGGCCATAGGACTGTCCACAGACGGCAGCGACTCGGACAGGACATTTAGATTTAGCGTCTGCTCCATGGCTTCTTCAACCGCTGCTGTCTCGTCGGAAATCTCCTCTGTATCGGCGACCTCAGTCGCTTCTTCCGCATCGCTTACCTCTTCGTCATCATCCTTGGTGTTCAGTTTGGACTTGGAGGACGAATCCTCAAGTGATTGACGACACTTTCGCATTTGATCAAAGATCCGACGCCAAAACATTTCACAGACACGAGGATTTCGATGACCAATCAGTTCGATAGTGAAGTCACACAGAGCTCCCTTTTCGTCTAAATTCTCCTCGCCCATGTCCTTCTCGTCGTTACAAGGATTGTTTACCTCGCCCGAGATGTTTTCCCCGCGCGAGTGGACGCCCGAATCGTTCTGAAATACGTTAAAATTGAAATTGAAACTAATCTCCTAAAGATATTATTCTTACCTTGCCACGATTCTCAAAGGCTTTCGCAATGCTGGCATGTGCAGTGTTCAGCAATTTAGAGTATTCGCAGCGATATTTATCAATAAGCCGGTTGGGGAACATTTCCTTCTCTTCCTGAGAGTTCGGTTCGCACGATCCAACGCCGAGTAAATCCTCTTCATTAATCTCGTCCACGCTCTTTTTGCACTGGACCTCGTCCAATTCCGTTGACGACTTCCTTTTTGTTGGCGTCGATGAGGACTGGGCATCAACAGATAAAACCGGGTTAATATTAGTTGGAGTTGCGGGCACGTTAGACCAAATCTTCGCGGGTGATTCTTCATGTTCCGACACGGCGCAGTCGGGGCACTTGTTGGTCAACTTGAGGATATCTTTAAAAATGTCCTCTTGGAAGAAGTGGGTCTTTAGCATATGGTCAAGGTAACGGCAATTTGAGTACACGGTCACCAGGTCATTGAGCACATCCGGCTTGCGGCATTCGGGCAGGCCGCGAAATACCCTGTTTAGCAGGTGCATAGCCTCCATTGCTTTATTGATGCCGCTTATAAGTTCCTCGTTATCCGTCGACGTCATGTGTACACAAACACCAACACGACTGTTTTCCGATTGCGTTTCCCAGGAGTCATCGGATGGATCCGATTCGTAGCCCTCCGGATCGGTGTGATTGATCTCAAAGAGATCCTGGGGATAGCACTTGGTAATGTGGCCCATGGCCCACCAAACACGGACACGCCCGTCGGGATAATTGTCGATCACCTGGCCAGCAGTTGAATCGACGTCTTCGCCTGTAAAGTTGGACACGCGAATGACCATGGTGCCTGGTCGGAACTGGTAGTCGGAATGATCCTTCAGATCATATACGCTCAGCTCCTCCGTCTCTTTGTACAAAGGACTATAAAGGGAAACAACAGTAGAACGTTAATGTCATGCTTCAATCACACAAGTTGTATAAATACTCACATTGGATTATCTATTTGTGTGTATATATTAAACCATTTAACCTTGGCGATGCGCTCGTCGTGGTCCACACATTGAATAACCCCGTAATCGGTTGTTCCGGTGCTGTTTTCGTTAGCCTTACTTACAAAGTCGCCCGGGAAGAACTCATGGTTATCCAGATGATGGATCGGATACAGATCTGTGGAATGAATGCCAACCTCGACCACCCCGTCCTGCCAAACAACCGTCACCGTGCTGTAAACGACCAGCGTCTCCACCACGATTTCATCGCCATCCTTGGGATTCATCTCTTTCTTGACGAACGGCGAAGTGATCAGCTTCTTCACACTCTTAAGCTTCTTTTTCATATGCCGCCGCTTGGCATAGCGCATAGTGATTCTTGGTGTTTGGGAGGCAGTACTCACAGTAGCGGCGGTCGACGGGTTTACCTCAGCGCCGCCAGATAGTTTTTCGGAGGCCGGAGACGGTTCAGGGGCTCAGCAACGTCCTGCTCATCCTCTTCCTCTTCATCGTCTACCGAGTCCCAGGTCTCCTCATTGCCACCCGGCCGATTCTTTATTTCAGATGCATTCTCACTAGCCTTAAGTGACGTGTTGGCATTGGCGTTGGAGTCATGGTCAGATGCTGATCGTGCCATACGCATACCACCAAACTTGCTGGCCAGGCGACGGAACTTGGGCAGATTCCGTGTATTGCTACTGCTGGATGCTGTCGGACTACCCGAAACGTTCAGCTTGCTTTCTATCAGATCTGGCCTATGATGGCGATTAAAAATTGAGGTGTATTTAATCGCTGAAATTATAAGATGTTGGAATGTTATCAATTCACAAAGCAAAGACTTAATAGTTTTCCATATCCTACCTTGCTCATCCTCCCAGTCAGTGTATTTAACTAGTTTATCACATTTTGAATACTTGAGGTAGAAACGATCGTGAATTTGCAGCATATAGGATTCGTAAATGTTGAGGCGTTTCACCTTGCTTAAGTCCTCGCCCTTTATGATGGTTTTTGGATGTTTTAGTGGATCAATTTCTTTGACATTTTCGAACTGCGAGATGGCCCTGCATGTCCAGGCCACGGTAATGGATGAGGTGTCAATGGATTCCACGGTGTACTAAAACAGAGATGGAAGGTTCAATAGATTCAGAGACTACATTCTTTTTATAATTTACATTATATGAGACCTGATACTTTGTATATGAAAGAGTCAGGTGCAACTATTTGGTTTATTTATTCTTACCACGGCGCGCCCCTTTCGATTGGTGGGTATAGCGATATCTGGTGTCAGATTCTTGACGCGATTAGGGGGCGGCAAGCGACCGACCACCAAGTTGCCCCGATAATAGACATTGGGATTGAAGACGTCACGAGTAGTGCAAGAGCCCACCGCATCCTTGAATTTATGGAAATCAAATGAGGTGATTTCAAAACGGGCGCCATTAGCGGATCTGCAAGAAATTTGAATATTAATAAACACTAAGAAAATATCTAAAGGCTAATCATTTCACTTACTTGAGGACTGCACTCTCATCCACGTGAACTGTGGTGCCTATCCAGGTGCCCAGACACACGGCCAGTTCCCTTGTCCACTCGGAGATGGGACGCAGCCGCTCGGCTGGTACGTTTTTAATGATATATTTGGAACCCAGCACCTTGACATCAGCGCACACGTTCACGTCCCGCACATAGCCCGCCTGACCAGTGAGATCCTTCTGCCCGGGCAAACGCCTACGGACCACATCGCCCGGCATTAGGGTTCTGTCCGCCAGTCCAAGCTGCGCAACACATGGTTCCGCGTTCAAAGAGAAGAGCAAATAAGCACGTGTCAGTGCCGAAAATGGAAACAGAAAGAACAACGGAAAAAACAGTTGTCCAAACACGACAAAAGAACAGTTAGTCGAGGCCGTTACATAACCTCAACGGTGGAGGTTTACTCACCGACTGTTCCGTTTGCACCATCTCCTTGCCGTCTGGGTAGAAGGCCACGCGAACCTCGCCCTTGGATAGAACCTCGTCGGGCACATCGTCCTCGTCGGACGAGTACGACTCGGCCGTCTCCGTGACCACGCCGAAATGGACGCGGCCACGTCGATCGATGCGGAATACTTCGTCCTCGAAGAAGTACTGGTACTCCTGGTTGCCTGGTTGGCTCTTCGACGGCGCCTGGCCGCCGCCCGTGCGCCGCGAGTGGCCCGCATGACGGGCCTCCAGCGTCGAAGGCGTCTTCACCTGTCCTTGACCCTGTGCCTGCTCATGAGCCGATGACGCCGCTGCTGCCGTTGGAGCAGCGGCCTCCGTGGATGATGGCGGCGGCTGCTGCTGCTGCTGAAGCTCTGGGGCGCCACCGACTTCACTGGCAGCACCCGCCACATGGCTCGACATATTACCAATGGTGAATTGATGGCATGGAAGGGCAAATCAATGCGAAATTGCAGCTGGTATTTCTTTGGTTATTCTTTGGCGAATTCTTGTTCTTGGACTTTTTCTCGCTCTCTCTTTCTCGGTTTTTCAATTGGTAACTGTAACAGGGGGACACTGCGGTGCTGTTAGAACTTGCACGGAGCACACACATCTAATTTGTACGCCTGACTAATAATTACAATTTAATTGGGTAATTTTGCCGACTTCTTTGAAAAACTATAAATAAAACAGTCAAAACCTACAAAAACAAAACGAGAAACGGAGCACAAGCAAATCGCCTGCTACAACTTGGGAGAATATCGATACTATCGATACTTTTTGAGAACCACCAGTGTGGCCAAATTGCTTGAGCCTGGCAGAAACTAGCAATCGCAGAATTTTATGTTTTAATTCGCCAGTCACCGAATCAGCGGATGAAATCACGACTTTCAAGCGCGGGCTTAGCCTTACACCTAATTCCTCGAATCTCTTATAAATGAATTAAAAATAAAACAAATTGATTTTGATAAAACAAATTGATTTACTTCGCTGCTATGGCCGCCGCAATCAAAATCGCTAAGAAAACTATCATTACTAAAACGAATAAAATTGAGCAAACAAGACAAAGAATCCTCATTTTAAAATTCGTTTTTATGTGCGGCTTTAAAAATTTTGGTCAATTCGTATATGGCTAAGTATCCGTGAGCTAAATATCCAATAAAAAACTTACCTGCCCGTATAACAACAATTGTAAAATGAAATACACTTTTTTGCTAAAATTACAACAGTTTGGTTTGTTTATTAAAGTTTTGTGACTGAATAGAAAAGTTAAAATGTTTGTTAAAAAATCCAACGCCTGCTGTGACTTAAAACTCTGAATTTGTAAATCCATGGCCAGAGCGCTCAAAAGTATGCAACGAAAATTCTGGTACTAAATGTAGGAGCTTCCGGCAGCCATTACAGTTTTCATTACTCCCTCGATATTTTTGAATCCACGCAAAAAGCCAACAATTTATTACAAAGAAAAAGTTTATATACTGAAATTTTGAACATTTTTCTAATATTGCAGGTAAACTACATATTATCACATCTAACTATCATGGGCGGAGCGAACTGAGAGTGGCGCAGACCGAAGGAGTAGCCCGGGCCGCTCTTGCCGGGACGATAGTACATCAGGTCATAATAGTTGGGGCCAGGACCAACGTTCTCTCCCCGCACGTTGGTGCGTGCCTGCATGGAGTACATTGGAGCACGGTTTAGCTTCACATTAATGTCGCCGGCAGCATAGGCGGCTGGACCAGGTGAGTTCGTCTTGTCCAAAACCTTGGTTTGCATGCCCCTGCGATTGGAAAATTGGAAGAGTATAAGGCGGATCAGAAATATGGCTTAAAATCCTATGGGTAGAGCTACTTACATGCTGTATTTAGGCACTCCAGGACGAACAGCATTCACCTCGTACTTGTAGGCATTGGGACCGGGACCATCCTTTTTAAAGTTAACATCCGTTCGCAGACCCATGGAATAGGACGGAGCCTGCGTGCCCGTGAAAATGTGGACATCATGGGCACCGGGACCAGGACTGCATTGTTTATCTGCAGCAAAGAAACTGGAGTTATCGTGTTCTATTGATTTTATTTGCTCAGGAGGCACTCACCAATTATATTCGTCCTGGGTGCTATCGAGAACTCCAATCCCTTGCTGTTGCCATAGCGGGTCAGTTTGTCCACCTTATAGGCACCAGGACCAGGACCCATGGCATCCCCGGGCATGGTGGTACGCATGCCAAAGGAGTACTGAGGCATACGTTGCTTCCGGCTGTCATGCTTGTCATATCCGCATGTGGATGGCAGCATGTAAGCGCCGGGTCCAGGTCCTTGAAGGATAATGGACACGGATGCGGATCACTTTCCGCATCTGTATTGTGTATTTACTTTACTTACCTAAAGGTCGCACCGCCATGTTTAGTTAGTTTTGTGCAATATTAGAAAAATATTTTACTGAAAATTTTGAACTCAATTAGAGTTGTTTGCCGAACGGATTCTTTATACGGAATGAGGATTCCATAGCACCGACATGGCATCATTAGGAAAAATCTAAAGCAGGGCATACTTGATGGGAAAATATCTAAATATCTACCCAACTTAATTTTTTAAATATTTTATTTTTTATTCACAATAGTGTTTATTTAAAGTAACTTTAAAACGGTTCCGATTTAAAAAGGAAAATTTTTTTAAATGAATCTAACCAAACAGGATTTTTGTGACATTCCATTATTCAACTCAATGGTATTGATTATATGATAAAGCGATTTTGGTTCAAAGAGATTCAATTTTTTTAAAGGAAAAGTATGGTGTGTTAATAATCTTAAATGGGTTTAATTTGCTCGAAATATATTGCTTAAAGTGAACCTTAGGAACATCCAAATTTTAGGCATTCCAGAAGTAACTTTGCTTTGAGATTTGGTGAGGATCTGGTCAGATGAGCAACTTATTCCACATCCATGGAGTTGTAGAGCTGCTTGTATCGAGATCCACCTCCACTGCTTTGTAGCAACATGTCATTGTGCTGCTCCCTTAGGGCCTGTAAAATTCCAAAACACATAAATAGAAGTGCATTTTTGAAAATATTCCAAATAATATCCAACCTTGGGATCATATTTCTGGTACAAATAAACTAGAATGGGGCCATAGATCATGTTAAATATGCCCACAATGCGCATCAGCCAGGCGAAACCAAAGGTCTGGGCCAGTTCACCTCCGATCAGAGGAGCTATAAAAAAATATTACGTTTTTTGATCTCCCAAATATATTTTTTATGGCTGTATTTACCAAGGCAATAGGCTAAACTGACGGAGGTCTGTTGTATGGCGTAGACAGTGCCATAGCTGGACATGGAGCTGCTGCCCTCGCTGTGCTCCTCCTGGGAAAGGGTGGCATCCACAAAGGTGGCCAGCAGGGGAACGAGAGCCGCATCAATTACTCCTATCCCCAGACCCAAGGCGAAATGGGGCAGTAATAGTTGGGCAACAGTTGTTGCACTTGGGATCTGTAATATATTCCAAATATGTAGGGTTTATAATCATTTTCATAAGTATTTAACTCACCAGAATGGAGGCAACTCCCACCAGGAGCAAACTGATGCAGGACACCTTCACCTGACCGTATTTATAGGCAATGCTGCCAAAGAAATTGGTGCCAACAAAGTAACCCACCGAATCCGGTATAAAGACAGTGCCCAGTTGCCACTTGTTGGGCTTCAGATACTGAATCAGCCAGATGGGCAGGCATGGCTCCAGCATGGCCATCGTGGAGGTGGAGAACCATATGGCCAGCACAATGGCCAAGATCATTTTACACTCGAGTAGGGGTCGCCATTTTGGAGTTGCCTCTACCACCACTTTCGGTTGAACGGACAGATCCATGGTCAGCAGCTGTAGACCCAGACTCAGGAACATCAGCGTGGAGAGAATGATAAAGGGCGCAGACTTGCCCATCAGATCGTACAGGATTCCACCGAAAGGATAACCCAGCAGCACACCCAAAGCTATGCTGCCCAGGATGATGCCCATCACTTTGGAACGCCTCGCCTCCTCCGGATAATGCTGGGCCACCAGGCTCATGCCGCAGATGTTGATGCAAGCCGAGCCCACACCTTGAATTGCTCGAGCAACCAGGAGTGCCCAGTAGGATTCGCCAATGGTAAATACTAGGGGAATATACATAATTACATTAATAAGAAAGTGCAGTAAATGTAACCATATACTCTCTAAAAGAAAATAAATCATCAAATGGTATGTCACCCAAACCCCTTATGACCTTCATGGCCCCGCTTTTAAATAGATCACTCACCCAGCGAGGAGAGGAGCAGGAAGAAGGTGCCAACCACAATCGGTAGGCGGTAGCCAAACTTGCTGGACGCGTTACCGACAATCGGATTGAAAATTAATTGGACGAGGGCCTTCATGGCCAGCAGCAGGCCAATGGAACCGTTCTCCTGCGTCAAGGTCAGCTCCTTGTTGTCGGCTGGGGCCGCCACCTTGCGGTTCCTGCTCCTGGACGAATTAGTGCCACCCGACTGACCCTCTGACGGCTTCAAAAGCGAAATTGCCGGTGTGGGGGTGGAGTTGAAATTGTGCATGTTCGGGGGTGGAGTGGTGATGGTAGTTGCCGCCTCTGTGGACATCTGGAACAGGGTGAAATTGACCATCGATTTGCCGGGTATGGGATGCTTGGCAATGTACAGCTGAGGATGACCACCTGTCGGAGATTCTGAGCCCCGATAGGATAGCTTTGAGGCTGGGGATGTATCATCCAGACTCAGCACGATCGGCGAAGAGGAATCCGACTCCAGGCCGGCCAAGTAATCCGGTAGAATGGGCACTGTAAATGGCGATTCTTATCATTTATTACCGCACTTATCTGTAATTGATTTTGGCCCATTACCAATTACGGTTAGCAGCATGTTATCTAGCAGCAGGGCCAGGTAGACAATCACGGCAATCAGGCAGCGATTGGAGGAGCCATTAGCCTGCGGCGTGGAGCTCCGTCTGCCTGTGGCATTTAGCTGGGCAGCTGCCTGGAACTGAGACTGGGACTCTGACCGGGCGTGGGCCTGGCCACGTGTTGACTTCTCCGACATGGCAAGCACACTTTTGGCTAATTGGACACACGGTTAGCGCCAAATCTAGTCTGCCATATGGCTCAAAAGTGCCTCACGATTCGCGCCACAAAGTATGCCCCGAGCTGTATCTACACACGCAGCGAATCCGACTGGCAACAGGTGGTGCTGCCACAACGACGTATGTGCGAATATTGAAAGCCAGCGACAAGTTGCCTTTCTATTTTATTGACAGCACGCGAGCCGAGCCGAGTGCCATGGCCCAAAAGCCGAGCAGATGGCCAAAAAGGAGCAAGAAACGACGGCATCCAGCCAGTCAGTCATCCCCCTTTCCTTCAGGACCCCTTTTAGGGGTAATCTCCCCTTGTTTGCATTGAACATGACTGCGGATGTTTAGCTTACGAAGGATGAATAATGAATTTAATGGCTTTAAAAAGATAGTTTCTTAACAAAATATTATTAAATTATTTAAAAGTGTAGTTTCCCTTACAAATAATATTAAATATTATGTAAGCTATAGGTAAATATTAGGGCAATATTTGCTATAAATAACTTTCTTATTTATATATAAACCTTAATGACTGCAGTTTAATATATATATATTTGTTTACTTGTATAATTATAAAGTAAAATGTAGATAGTAAATATTAAATAAAATTATAAATATTTGCTTCAATTAAAATTAAGTTAAATACCAGTTGTAATATTACTAATATTGTTTGGTTAAGTACTTCTTTAACCCAAATAAATTATATTAAGAATATACATATTTACATCTTTAATATCTTTAAAACCATTGTAAGTATTTTAAATCAGTTTTAATTTGCCTCTACAGTACCTTAAAATATTTCCCTTTAGAGAATTCAAAAACCATTACTATCCCCTTAGTGATTTTCCAGCATTTTCCTATTGAACTGGTTATAGTTTTTGTTGTTAACACAATGAGACACACACACATGGCTTTAAAGCTTTGGTCATGTCATGGTAGTCTGTTTTATTAGCACCACGAATGGTTTCCTTCCTCCACAGCAAAAGGAGATGAGCGGGAGATTAAAGCCAATCCATTGGCTTAAAGACCCGGCCGAGCGAGTGTTCGCCCGCTGCCCCGATAAGCAGGCTATGGATTTTTCAGCCTTTAGTCACATTTTCCATTTCATTGCCTTTTTTCGCCGTTTAAATTTAGTCCCAACAAATTTGTGACGGATTGCCAGGCGCCGGGTTCTAGCTTTCTCTTTTTTTGTTGAAAAATTGATTTTATATACGAGGGTACCCATGGCATGGTAACCACCATGATATTGACCTATTATTAATAGCCAAGATGTGGCATTAATAACCAAAAAGATAAGTCCATGACCTTATCCGTGATAACTCGTTAGTCCAAGCAGACACCTGTCCCGTTTGATGACTTGGCATTACCAGTCACTAATCTTAGACCAACGATTTGGCTAATCTGAGGTAAGTAGCTACCATTTAAGTGATTAGATTGTTGCCATTCCAAGAATACATGCCCAACAGTTTAGTAAGTAAACAATTGCTATTTAGACCATATAACTTTGTATATTTGAACACGTTCCTTCACTTTTTCTTAACGACGATTGAGCGGACTGAATATGTTAAAATCATTTTGCCCAGGCCGACCATATCGCGTTACATTGCCCAGATCATAGGCAGCTGGACCAGGTCCTTCAACTTTCCTCGTCGTTGTATTGCAGGGTCTCGAACACGTTCCAAAACTAAAAGCAGGACCTCTCTGCATCCTCTTGTCGCAATTGGCACCAAACATACTGGGCAGATCGTAGGCACCAGGTCCGGGTCCTTAAAAAACAAGGATTTTTCCATAGTTTCTCATTGTATTCCCCTATTTACTTTTACAATTCTTACCAAAAGATCTTCTGCAAGACATTTTTTTTTTATGTGGTAGAAACCCTTTTTTTTAATTTAGAAAATTTTGAGAAACTCCAAAGAAAAAAAGGTTGTTTGCCGAACGGGGTGTAGCCTGAGAATGAGAAAAGTCCAGGCTCATCTTACCAGCTTAAAGCTAAAATTAATATCAAGGCCAAGTTGATGGCAAAATCTTTTCCTAAAATTCCCATATTAATAATTCCCATAATAAGCTGATTGTTTTGGCTTTATCTGGATTACTTCCTGGCCACTTGTCAGGGGTGCCCCAAGTGGCCAGATAAGCCACCAAGACCCAATCCAGCTGGAACCTTCTGTTCGGCAAGCGGCCTCAGTTGACTGGCGGCGATTGGAGTGAACGGTCAACTAGAAAAATGTTTGGCAGCCGAGAAATCTTGGCTCTTGGAACGCTGCTGCTGATATCAGCTATTGGTAAGTGGTCATTAATCTAGATCATAAACCGAAAGTACAATTGAAATTCCTTTTGCAGGTGCGCAAGCCGAATCTATTCCTTGTAAACTTAAGGATGCGGATCACGGCAAGGTGTGTGTCTGCACAGCAGACTACTGTGACTATCTGGAAAACCCCATCGTGACGGAGGACAACGAGTTCGCTTTGATTTCCAGCTCCAAGCTGGGTCTGCGGTTCACCACTTCCAGTGGCAAATTCGGCACAGAGGAGAAATTCACGGTGCCAGACTATGTGGAACCCACTCCGGAGGCTGTTAATGCCAGCATCCTGTCCCGTTTGGTGGATAAGGTGGTGGCCAGTGCCTTTACCTTGGAGTCCCGTGAGAGTGCCATAACTCGCTCGGTGACCCTGCGGCTGGACAGAAGCAAGACTCACCAGAAGATGGTGGGATTCGGAGGCAGCTACACTGGAGCTGTGACCTATTTGGTGGAGAATTTCAAGCAGACGGAGATGGCCGATCATCTGTACAAGTCCTTCTATGCGGAGGATGGTCTGGGTTTCAATCTGATGCGCGTCTCAATTGGCGGCTGTGACTTTGATCTCGAAGCCTGGGCCTATGCCGAGGAAGAGGGTAACACCCAGCTCTCCGACATGGACAAATTGGATGAAAGGGATGTGGGACGCTTGGCTCAGATCAAGCGTCTCGTTGAGGTCTCTGGAGTGAAAAATCTGCTAGTCAAGGGAGCCGCCTGGAGTGCCCCACGTTGGATGAAGACCAACAACAAGTGGACAGGATTTGGGCGACTCAAGCGGGAATACTATCAGACCTGGGTTGACTATCATCTCCGTTGGATCAAGCTGATGGAGGACAATGGGCTACCCATCTGGGCCATTTCCACGGGCAATGAGCCACTCAATGGCATCTTTTTCATGTTTTTCGTGAAGTTCATGAGCATGGGTTGGACACCGCAAACCCAAGCCATTTGGCTGAACGATTACCTGGGCCCTGCGCTTCGTAATTCGGAGTTCAAGGACATTATTCTCTTTGGAAATGACGACCAGCGGTGGTCCTTCCCCCACTGGTTCAAGATGGTAAGTATTTTTCCAAGAATCAAATGATTTAATTAGCTCAAATTATACTTCAAAGTTCATATTCCTTATCGCCTCTATTTTCAGATGAACTATACTCGCCCCAACTCGATTGATTATCTTGATGGATTATCTGTGCATTGGTATTGGGATGAAATTTTCGGCAATAGCTTTATTGAGCAGACCACAAAATATATTCCGGACAAGATTATGATTGTTTCCGAGTCCTGCATCGGGGATAAGCCCTGGCAGGCGGCTGCTCCTCTGCTGGGAAGTTGGGAACGTGCCGAGAAATATGCCCGTGACTATCTGGCCAACATTAAGTTGGGCTTCAATGGTTGGATTGATTGGAACATATGCCTGGATGAGGTGGGCGGACCCAACTATGTGGATAATACCGTTGATGCTCCTGTAATAGTGAATACCACAAGTATGTAGAGTCTCATGTCCTTTGTCCTTCGATATGAAATCTAATAATGATTTAAATTCTTCCAGCTTTCGATGAGTTCTACAAACAGCCCATGTTCTATGCCATCGGTCACTTCTCTAAGCTGGTTCCTGAGGGTTCGATCAGGATTGATGCTATTCCCAGTAACGTCAACCTGGACACGGTGGCCTTCCTCCGACCGGATAACAAGATCGCCGCGGTTCTATTCAACAGCGGACGAGCTGATCTGGACATCTCTGTGGTGGACAGCGTTCGTGGCAACTTTATCGTAAATGTTCCAGCTAGATCCATTCACACTTTGCTGTACAATTGAACAAAGTTTCGAAATAAATTTTGTTTAAAATCAATTGGGTTTGGTTTAAGAAAAAAATATATTTATGTTAAATTAATAACTAATGGTAAAGGTGTGGTGATAGTAAAAATATTATGGGTATTAAAACAACCTCTCTGAGAAGCAACACACATTTGATCTATAAAGTTAGTACTTTGTTAAGAAAATAGCGCTCTCACTATACTAACTTATATACTAAATATTACTTTAATTTAGCATTAAAAAAGAATATTATCTTATGCGAAGGTGTGGTGAATAATGTTATTATACCCTTGCAGGGTATTATAATTTCAGTCAGAAGTTTGCAACGCAGTGAAGGAGGCACCTCCGACCATATAAAGTGTATATATTCTTGATCAGGATCAACAGCCGAGTCGATCTAGCCATGTCCGTCTGTCCGTTTCTACGCAAACTAGTCTCTCAGTTTTAAAGCTATCTTAATGAAACTTTATAGTTAGCATTCTATATACTCTCACTCAAATATATGTCGGAACGGACGACTATATCATATAGCTGCCATTGGAATGACCAGAAAATTTTTACAAAAAAAATTATAACATTTTCAGTTTTCAGCAGATTTTTATCAAATTTGAGATATAGCCATTTTATTATACTCTACAATTCTGTGTAAAATGTTATGAATATCGAACTACAGTCGAATCCCGATAATTCGTACCCCGCTAAATCGAAAATCGCGATAATTCGTAAAAAATTCTGTCCCCTTGAAAAAAACTCGTTAATTCGTAAAAATTCCATACATTTTGGTCCCTTCGTTAATTCGTAGTATTTGGCGCAACGCAAAGAATATTGAACCTCTTATAAATCGTAATTTTGTTTCGAAACCTCTTATAAATCGTAATGCGATGCGAAATATTTTGTAGTTAAAGCGACGTTAGATTTTGCAGACATCAGAACGGAGAAGAAATTTTATAGAATTTACAAACCAGAGCATTAATTCCTCAACTTAAACATTATTTTTCGACTCATGATGTGCCAAATAGTGTGTTTGACAACCTAATAGGTTTAGAAAACGCAATGGAAAAAATTAAAGAAAAAAACACGAAGCAATCAAAAATTAGCAATTATTTTAAAGCTTGAATTGTCGTTTTTAATAATTTAATGTTTCTGCTTAATTTTGTTTATTAAATTTTTGTTTAATTTTCCTTTAATTTAAAAAACGTACAAATGAATGCACATATTTATTATGTTTGTTTAATTTTCATAAAGCTAAATACATATGTAAACATGATGTGAAATGTAAAAACCCCGTTTATTCGACTCTTTCATTTTCGAGCCCCTTTAAATAGAAATCTCGATAAATCGAGTTCCCGTCTAATTTGTAAAAAAGTGATCCCCTTGCCATTTCGAATTATCGGGACTCGACTGTACTATATCATATAGCTCCCATAGGAACGATTGAGAAATTAATACAATTAAAAATTACAACTATTTCAGTTTTAAACAGATCATCATCAAGTTTGAGGTGTAGCCATTTTATATTAGTCTTAAATTTTGTGTAAAATTTCATGAAAATCGGACGACTGTATCATATAGGTGCCAAACAAACGATCGTTTGGTGTAGAGGAAAAATGCAAATCCGTGAACTGCAAATATAATGTGTTTAGGTGAATGAAATGAAAACAGGTTTTACTTCATTGTTTTTAATCATAAATATTTATAATTTATATTGTAGGGAATCCTACTCATAAAAGTTCAAGGTAAGTACACTAATCATATATTAAAAACTTATTTTATATACAAAAAAACATGAATAATTTTCTTAATACCTTTGAAGTAAGCTAAGTATTAAGAGGTCAAATATTAAATATATTATAACTAAGCCAAAAATGCATTCATTTCAGTTTTTATTAGGGTAACAAATCTGCATACTCAATTTAAAAATTTAAAAAATTCAACTTTTCGTCAATTTTTCACCATTTTAACGATACCCCTTATAAAGATTTAAAATTGTCAAAAAATTTGAAAAAATTAAATTTATGCCGGACCTGGCTAGATCGATTCGGCTGTTGATGCTGATCAAGAATATATATGAATAATAGGATCGGAAATGACTCCTTCACTAAGCTTCAAGCTTTCGACTGAAAGATAGGCTTTGCTTAATTATTTGGTACATAGAGCGCTCTCCTCTGCGATTCTCAAGTCTTACACTTAAGCAAGGCTCTAGCTAGAGGAAGTGTAGTTATCTTCTTCTTCTTTTGTATAAATTACTAATTTAGTGCTTGGTGGTTGATAGACTTTGATCAAGAGGATGTGGCAACCATGGCTAGATCGAGTCGGCTGTTGATGCTGATCAAGAATATATATGAATAATAGGATCGGAAATGACTCCTTCACTAAGCTTCAAGCTTTCGACTGAAAGATAGGCTTTGCTTAATTATTTGGTACATAGAGCGCTCTCCTCTGCGATTCTCAAGTCTTATACTTAAGCAAGGCCCTAGCTAGAGGAAGTTTAGTTTTCTTCTTCTTTTTGTGTGTTTTTTATATAGATTACTAATCTAGTACTTAGTGGTTGATAGACTTTGATCAAGTGGATGTGGCAATCATAAAAATTATAGTTTTCTTAATTAAGGTAAGACGTTAATAAAATATCTCTTGATAATTGAAACCAAAACAAGGCCCAAAAAAGTCAAGATACATGAAAATATGGTTTATTTTAAATTATTGTTTAATTATCATACCCTTGGCCGTGTTGACTAGCTTATTATTGATCTCGAAAAGTCTTCCAAGCTCTCTTTAAGAGCCGTGATGATCATGACGAGCAGGTATATGGTGTCATTTATTTGTTTATAGTAAAGTATACATAACTCCCGAAAATAGTTTATTCAGCACAACTTACTAAACAAAGTACACAACAATGGTGATAATCGAAACTGCTCAATATAAAATATATATTAAAACAAGTTGATCTATATTTGTAAAGCAAGAATTTTAAGAATTGGTATGCTTTTAAATAACAGAAAGTTAACATATTTCAAGCAATGCTTGTATATAATTTTTGCAAAAGTAATTCTTCACACAAAAACCCGCTCAAAAAATAAGGATTTTAAGCTTGCTAATATAAGCCGATTTAGGATTTTTTTTTCCTTGTTTGTTTCCTTTTCTTTTTTTATTCCCTTGCAGGGTATTATAATTTCAGTCAGAAGTTTGCAACGCAGTGAAGGAGGCACCTCCGACTATATAAAGTATATATATTCTTGATCAGGATCAAAAGCCGAGTCGATCTAGCCATCCCCGTCTATCCGTCTGTCCGTCTGTCCATCTGTCCGTTTCTACCCAAACTAGTCTCTCAGTTTTGAAGCTATCTGAATGAAACTTTCTAGTTAGCCTTCCATATACTCTAACTCGTATATATGTCGGAACGGACGACTATATCATATAGCTGCCATTGGAATGACCGGAAAATTTGTACAAAAAAAATTAGAACATTTTCAGTTTTCAACAGATTTTCATCAAGTTTGAGGTATAGCCATTTTATATTAGTCTTAAATTTTGTGTACAATTTCATGAAAATCGGACGACTGTATCAAATACGATCGTTTGGTGTAGAGGAAAAATGCAAATCCGTGAACTGCAAATATAATATGTTTAGGTGAATGAAATGAAAACAGGTGTTACTTCATTGTTTTTAATCATAAATATATATAATTTATATTGTAGGGATTCCTAGTCATAGAAGTTCTATCTGCAAGGGTATATAAACTTCGGCGTGCCAAAGTTAACTTCCTTTCTTGTTAATCTTCAAATAGTTATACCATTATTCTAACGTTAAAGTCTTTTATGTATAGGCATGATAGGCATGTTTTGTATACCTCCAAGGGGATTATAATTTAGTCAGAAGCCAAAAAATCAGTGAAGGAGCCATTTTCGACCCCATAAATCATATATATTCTTGATCAGCATCAATTGCAGAGTCTATCTGGCTATGTCCGACAAAAATTAAATGTCTTCAAAATTTTTAAAATTTTCGTTAAAATTGTCAAAAACTGGCAAAAAAATTGAATTTTTTTTAAATCTTAAATTGAGTATGCAGATTTATTTACCTAATAAAAACTAACATTTGAATGGTTTCTGAATTGAAATTAGTTATGAGATTTTTAAGCGTTGATTTTTAGAACAAATTTTCATATGAAAATATTGATAATATCGACTTAAAAATGGTATTTTACAATTAGTCAGAATCAGTCAGCTTATATACTTTGATAGAAACATTTCCGACCCCATAAATCATATATATTCTTGATTAGCATCAACAGGACAATCTTTTAAACCTTATCCGACAGACATTTAATTTTTCAAAATTTCAACATTTTTTAAGGGGTTAAAGTTTTGTTTTGAGTATGCAGATTTATAAACCTTATAAGAACTAACATAGGAACGGTCTCCGAATTGAAATTAATGCTTTCTTGGCTTAGTTATGAGTATTTTAAATTTGGATTTCTTGATTACAATTGTCATATAAAAGTATCCATATACATACATACAAGAAAAAAAACAATCTCATAATATATTTAATATTTAAATAAAAATAAACCAAAGTATAAACAGAATAATTTTAATTTATATGTTAAAACATTCAAATTAACTGAATGTAAGAAATGTGAAGCAAATTAATTTTTATGTATATTTGTTAAATATTAATTTTCCTCTGCTATTTGTAACCCCTTCTCTTTTTCCCACTCCGCCTCTGGTTTTGCATAACTTTTACTTTTGATTGCGTGCGCCGATTTCCAAGTGGGAACACCACGACTGCCGGGCACAACAAGTTGCTTTATCAAATCAAAACCAAAAGCCGGGCCCCTGGGTCAAGTAATGCTCATAAACAACAAGAGCAAATTGAGCGAAATTCGGTGATTCGATCAGAGAAACGAGAGTCCCGGATCGAGCCACTCTCAATCCGAGCTCAGTTTGCGAGGTGCCTTCACTCGAGCCGCATCGTTCCCGCTTTGTAGGGCAAAAAATGATTCAAACTTGGCATTGCTTTCTTTTTGCACTGCTCTCGATCGGGGCAGGTGAGTGAGCCTGAAATTTACCTGAGATTTTAGGAAATATATACACAATAAATGTATCTTACAGGTGCCTCCTCTGAGCAGATGCCCTGCGATCTGCGAGAGACGAGCCATGGAAGCGTTTGTGTGTGCAACAGCACCTACTGCGATTACATGGAGCAGCCGGAGATCACTGATAGCAACCAGATTGTGGTGATCAGCTCCAGTAAGGTGAGTCATGCTCATAGATGCTTTTTGGGTTTTGTTGCTCAAGAAGATTTGTCAACTCAGCTCATTAAAGTAAATAAATATATATTTTATAAACAAAATGATCTCGCAGGATGGCTTACGTTTCCAAAAGACAACTGGTGACTTTGCCAGCCAGAAACCCTTGGTGGTGCAAGATAAACAATCCATAGATGAGAACTTCAAGGCAGAGGCCATTGTGGTGGATCAAGGGCGAGCCTGGCTGCAGTTGGCCAACATACCCCAGAGGCTTTGTAGCTGAAGAAACCTCTTAAAAGTATATACACAAATCTAATATTCTTCTCTATAATGCAGTTATCAACTCCAGTGTTCGTACTCTTCGTGTATTTGTAAATCGAGAGAAGCGTTTTCAAAAGGTTTCCAATTTTGGCGGAGCCTTCACTGGCACAGTCTCGTATTTACTAAAGCAATTACCTCAAGAGCTGCAGGATCATGTCTATAAGTATAAACAAGAAATTTATATAATAAACTCAAAGTATAACATTATTTCTTGCCAGATCCTACTTCCATCAAGATGGTATAGCATACAACACCGTTCGCATATCCATTGGTGGCTCAGACTTTGACTTGGAACCTTGGGCCTACAATGAATGGCCCCGGAATGATCTCCAGCTGAGTAACTTCACCGAACTGGATCCCAGGGATCTGAAGAAAATAGAGCAACTAAAGCGGTTGAAAATCGTCGGAAACCTAGATGAACTAAAGATCATGGGCGCCGCCTGGAGTGCCCCACCCTGGATGAAGAGCAACGATCGCTGGACAGGATTTGGTCAACTGAAGACGGAATACTACCAGACATGGGCTCTCTACCACCTCAAGTGAGACATTAGCCATGGATCTGCCGTATTTATGAGACACTTTTTTTGTTGTGAAAATCTTTACAGATTCCTCGAGCTCATGCAGGCTAAAAATATGCCGATCTGGGCCATATCCACGGGCAATGAGCCGCTAAACGGCGTCATCGGTTTCTTCTTTGTGCACTTCATGAGCATGGGCTGGACGCCTTGGCAGCAGGTACGAGACATTAACCACTAGCTTTTGCTATTGGCCATCGATCACGATTCTGGCTATTAAGCATCTTGACGTATTTTCGGTCAGGCTATTTGGCTGAACGACAATCTGGGTCCAACCATCAGGAGGAGCTCCACACAGAGCAAGGTGCTCATCTTTGGCAACGATGACCAGCGATACACATATCCCTCGTGGTTCCGGAAGGTGAGTGTGATCTGGGATGGGATGGTATACATATGAATATAATCACTTAAATATGTTTTTCTTAGATGCGCTCCTCTAGAAACAACTCTTTGTCCTACCTGGATGGCCTGGCTGTGCACTGGTATTGGGATGAACTGGTTGGCCCTCAGCTCATCGACCAGGCACACTCGGAGATGCCTGAAAAGCTGCTCCTAAATACAGAGTCCTGCATCGGGGACAAACCCTGGCAGACCCATGGCCCTGAGCTGGGCAGCTGGCAGCGGGGAGAGAGCTACATGCGAGCCTACACCCAGGATATGAGGCATCACTTCAACGGTTGGTTGGACTGGAACCTGGTGCTGGACGAGCAGGGTGGACCCAACTATGTGAATAACTTTGTGGATGCACCGGTCATTGTGAATGCAACCAATCGCCAGGAGATATACAAGCAACCGATCTTCTATGCCATTGGACACTTCTCCAAGTTCCTCCCTGCAGACTCTGTGCGCATCGAGGCGAAGATTGAGAACGAAAGCAATCCCTTCACTCAGCTAAGTGTGGTTGGCTTCCAACGTCCCGATGGCAGTGTGGCTGTGATCATCTACAATGGGTAAGTCAATAGTTTTTATTATTCCCTAGTTTATTTTTCCAAAAGTGTATCTATTTCGGTTTCCCTAATGGTTACTCTATCTCCTCTATCTTTGTAGCCAGAATCTGCCGGTGGATGTGGCCCTCAATGATAGCCAGCGTGGTATGATCGGTCTTCGATTGCCGCCGCGCTCCTGGCACACGGTGCTCTATAAGTGAGGAGCGGGTTTCCTATCCTATTTCCCCATTCCCGGAACCAAAGTCCACAAAAGTAGTTGTAATTTAATTTAGGAGTAGAGTACAAGAGGAGTCCAGCTGCTGCCGCTGCTGCTGCCCAAAGGACCAATTGAGGCTCAAGTGACATAGCGGCAGCGGAAGCCCATAAATTGTGCCCTCAACAGGATGCTCGCAGGATAAGATGCTTGTGAGGATGTTACGCCAGAGCTATATACCAGCGGAAATTTGTTTAAGCCGCTCAATTTGCCGGAACGCGTCTGTTTACAATGAAATTTCATTTGCCGTTTAATGCCGGCGCTCCTCCTTTATTTCATTTTATCATGTATGTATTTTTTCGGGCAAAATACAAACGACATGCTATATACTACATAACATATATCGGAGCACATCTTTCGGATCAAGTTGAGTGACAACTGCCAGTCGAGCGGCAACAACGTCCAACCGAAAGAAACAAAAAAATAACATCTCTCGTGTAGCTCTTTGGGGTTTCGTCTATTTGTTCAATATGCTCTATAAATATGAATGTCAATTGAGCGCCAAGCAAATGCATTTTCCCGCTTTTCCCCGCTCTTGCCGCTTTCCCCCAGCACTTGGCGCATAAAATGGGGCGTTTTATGTAAGTCTATAAATTAAAACATGAAACGTTTATAAACCCATATGACGACTGGTGGTTGTGGCAGCCTCAACTGCGGTGGTGCGCTTTCTTTCCATTTTTTTTGTTTTAAAATAAATTAAGAATATTATGAATATAAATATGTGCATTACTCTGAAGAAAAGTTCTGATGATGCGAATTTGCCTTAGAGGAGGAAAGAGAAGAGGGGAATGAGGATGTATATTTTAGAATATAATATAATACAACATACAATGTATAAATATATGTTGATAGATCCTTTGTAAAACAATCCAACTATGGATTCGCTTGTAGAAAGAAGGGATAAAAGGACTTCTGATTGAGCATTCTTTGAATGCTTGTAAGCCATACATAATAAATATATATATAAATACATCTTAAAATGTTTTCAATATTTTGCTTAATGACAGTTTATGCTGCACCCCTTAACGTCTTTAAAAACTAGATATTGATACCTTTAGCAAACACTTTCTATATTTAACTAGCCTTACCTAAGCTAATTTGATTGAATTTTGCAATTAAAGTTATATAAAATATATTTGCAGCATCTTAAGTAAGATATTTCAAAATAAATTTATATTTTCACAATGAGATATTCATAAATAAGAAACAAAAGGCAGTCAAGTACCAAACATATGCATTTCCCTCCCGGTTTAGCGAGCATATCTCAAGTGCTTACAGCGAAACACACTTATCAGCAATGAGCGTGTCAATTACATACCCCTGTAAGTACCCCTGCAATTGCTACCCCTTTTCCTCAGGAAAGTGCCAACATCGGGCAATGTGTTGAGTGCACTGCAGTGCAGTGTTAATGAGGCTCATTATTAATATGGCAGCGATATGTTTGTGTCATGAGAGCAATGGGGACGCTGCGAAGGGAATTTACACGCGCTGCCCTGTCATCAGTGAGATCAAAGCACACAGCCTCCGGAGGAGACACAGAGTCCTCCATGGCCATAATGTGTTATGAGTTATTGGTAAAAGAGAGGGAAGCAGGGGAAGAGAGGAGTGGGAGCAGCAAACTGATCCGCTTCCTGGCATCCAAGATCGCCAGCTTGTCAGCAGCTGACAGCGCCATGTCACAGCAATTTGCCCGTAGGTGTTCCACGTCAGCTCGAACACCTACTCCGGGGGATATTGGTGTAATGCCCTGTGACAGGCACTCACTCCGCGACACTCAAATTGAATGCTCAAAGCGAAAACTGTATACTATTTAGCGTTTAGATTTATTTCGGGCATTAAACGGAGATCGCATTTCAAGAGCGGCAGAGAGTACTGATACACTGGGGGAAATGAAAGGGAACTCGAAGTAAGAACTTCACTTACAGAAAATATAAATAAATATCTCTAGAAACCTTGACTATCATCTGCTTCAAGCAAAAGGATCTTTTACTATTAATTTTTCTATATAGAAAGGTGTAACTAACTTAAAAACTTACCTAAATTTGTTACATATGTATGTATTTAGGATATATTTCTTCAAGTGCCTGCATTTCCCAAACGTCAACGAGAAGGGCACTTAAGTGTCTTCCCCAGACGGGCGCCGGATGTGCACTATTATTCCATTATACTAGGCCCTAGGTTCTCTCTCGTACCAATAACCATATCCCAAGTCCCATTCCCAGGAGCTGGAGAAAAGTGCAAGTTACAAAAGCGTGTTAGATACAGGGTCCATGATGCGATTGTATATATTTTCCCCAATTCGATTCGCTTACCCCTGATAAGATTAGATTAGGAGAGACCAACCAACCAACCCACATGGCATCGTGGGGGAAATATACAAATTAGCCAGTTATAGGTATCATAGCCCACATATTCGGGGCCCAAATGCTGTCAAACACCGCATAGCTGCCACCAAAATGCGACGTCCGCTCTCGCCGACCCTGGCCAAGCTGGCCGAGAAGGAGGTGAATGAGACACCCGATCGGATTCAGCAGGACATCATTATCCTTAGAGTATGGATACGTCAGCAGCAGCATTTGCGTGCTCGCACGGATGTTGATTTTTTGATTGCTTTCCTCCGACGCTGCCGGTATAGTCTGGAGGAGACCAAGCGAAGGATTGATCGTTACTTCACCCACTACAACCTATTCCCGGAGATCATGAATAATCGATGTGTGACACAACGACTGCTGGACATCAATCGATTGGGGTGAGTTGGGTTATAAACTTCTTTATATAGTTATACTCATTCCTTTTCCTTTAGAGTGTGCCTGTATCCTGACATGCCCAAGGGCGACAGTCGCACTGCCATATTCATTGCCCGCTTTGGACACTTTGATCCCAACCTGTTTATGCTGCGTGAGATCTATCACTTCTCCTCGATGGCCATGGAGGTGATAGCCTTGGAGAATGACTATGCCTCACTGGCTGGGATCTGTGAAATCATAGATTTGGAGGGCGTTAATTCAGACAAGATGAGGCGCTTTGACAGGGTTCTCTTTCGCAAGTGGTGGAATTGGTTGTACAATTGCAGTCCCCTGAAGGTGAAGGAAATGTACATTATCAACATGCCCAAGGATATTCAGGGCACTGTCATGTTTCTCTACAATGTGCTCAGCATGCAGGTCAACTATCCGGTGGGTATAACAATTTACTAATTAATTAATACAAATACAAATAAAAATGTTCTTTAGATACGCGTCCTGAAGAACAGCGAGGAGCTGATCGAGCACATTGGCAAGGATTCGCTGCCGGAGGAGTATGGTGGCACCAATGGCCACATGGGCGAGTGCATGGCCTATATGGAGGATCTCCTAAACAGCTATCGCGGCTACTTTGAGCAGGATTGCAACTATGGCACCATTGAGGAGCTGCGTCATGGAGAGATTGCCACCTATGAGGCGGAATTTGGGGTCAGCGGATCCTTTCGCCGCCTTAATTGGGATTAACAGTCTAAAGTCTTATCCAAACCCGGAAGCAGGAAGCCTAACACCCTGACTTTGTCAATCGGATAGCAATAGCCATATAAACATTCCAAGCTCCGTTGTAGAGTCGATCAATTAAAGATAACGTTTACTTATCGCCTATCTATGCACTCGGCTATCTGTATCTGTATCTGTATTCCTCGGACCCTCGGGTTTTGTGTGTTCGGGTTGCCGTTCCAGCTAGTTTACAAGGTGTTGTTGCTATTGCTGCGATTAGATAGCGTCAACGCCATCGTCACCACACCCAGGCAAAAGCCTCGACTTCGTGGGTGCGTCAGTAGCTGCGGCATTCAGTTCAGCATTAGAACGAGCGCCGGAATGGCGACCACCCTGAGACCTCTCGACCCCAAACTGGCCGCTTTGGCCAAGAGCGAGTGCAACGAGGAACCCGCTCAGCGCGCTGAGATCGTGGCCACCATCCAGACATGGATTACCAAGTCACCGCACCTCAAGGCACCCACGGATGAGCAGTTGATCCTGGCCTTCCTGCGACGGTGTCGCTTTAGCCAGGAGGAGACCAAGAGGCGGTTTGATAACTATTACTCCTTGAAGAATGTGTTCCCGGAGGTGCTGGGCTCCCGGCAGGTGGACGATGCCTTGCTGACCCAGCTCCAAAGAGGGTGCGTTTTGTTTATAAAAAATATCCCTAATTGGATTAGGCTTTCTGTGGATTAAAGTGTGTTTAATTAGAGAAGTTGTCCAAGTGTAAATAGAGTACAAAAAATTGCCCGCTTTATGGCATTCTATAATATAGTGTATAAAATCAATTCAAGTTTCCATTTCTAATCAGCAATGTCAAAAGTTAACCAATTTACTCAAAAAACGTATCATAGCTCTGATATAAAAATAATTTATTCACTCATTATCTATGGAGAATTACGAGGTAAAGGTTTTGTTAATTTCGTGTTGTGTCTTAACATTAAATATGTGATTCAATTTCAATATAATTTGCAATAAATTATGAAAAAATTGAATGGAGACATGTTGAGATTCTATTACCTAACTATTAAACCTTAAATAATTTAATTAATTTCCTTCCAGAATCCATGTGATCCCCACACGTCCAGTTAGTGCCGAAGGACCGCGGGTCATCATCTCCCAGTTTCGGAACATAGATCCCAAAAAATCGAATCCCCGCGAGGCCTTCAAGCTGGTCTTCATCATGCTGGAACTTCTGGCTTTGGAATGTGATAATGCCTCAATCTCGGGTCTGGTCTGGGTTGTAGATTGCCGGGATGTGACCATGGAGCAAATGATGCAATATGATCCATTTCTGTTAAAGAAATCCTTTGCTTTGGTGGAGCAGTGTATGCCCCTGCGATTTGCAGAGATTCACTTGATTAATATAAGGAAAGAGGGACTGGCCATCTTTAGTTTTGTGACCAAGTTTCTGCCATCCAAATTGCCATTTAAGGTGAGTGTTTTTACGTTCTTTATTTTTTCAATTAATATAATTTAACTTGCCTTATTTTCCCTTACAGTTCATGGTGCACAAAAAGTCCGAGGACCTGTACCAACACCTGCCCCGAGATGCCATGACCATTGAGTATGGTGGCACCAATGGTTATCAGGCAGAGTCCGTGGATTATTGGCGCCAAAAGCTTTTGGAGAAAAAGGAATACCTGGCCAAGGATGCCCAGTATGGAACCAATGAGAAGCTACGTGTGGGATTGGCCAGTGCCTGGGCCAATGGAGAGCTGGACGGGATGAGTGGTTCCTTCCGCAAACTGGAACTGGACTAAAAGGCTTCCCTTCCTGTGTTGTTGTGTATATTGTTTACTTTTTAAATTAAGTACTAAAGCTATATAAATAATTTAAGGCCTATTGGGGTCACTGGGGTATCTCGTGTATCCTCTTAAAAATATCTTTACAATTGTCTAAATGGGGGGAGAAAGGATCTTAATGTTAAGTGCTGCATTTCCGTTTGAAGTTTGTGTGCAGAGAAGTGGCTGATCCTGTGGATACCGTCGAGGGCGGTGTCTTGGAATCTACAGGAGTGGGCGTGGCCTTGTTTTGAATGGGACTCGTTGTGCTCTTGTTAATGCTTTGAACAATGAGATTTAGACAGTCCAAACTTGAGCCATTGGCATTGCCCTCGAAGTCTGTTCAAAAAAGAAGTTTAAATTGTTTAATTAGGAAAACTAAATATTAGTTCTGTAGATTTTTAATTACCTGAAAACTGACCATACTTCTCCATATGCTTGTTGTAGAAACTTAGTTTATCTTCCAGATAAGCGCCGGCATATGAGCTCTGCAACGATACACACAGTAGAAATTAACTTTTAGTTTTATTTTTTGGGGGGAAACGATAAATTACAAAAATGTGTCGCCGGCGAAATGACAACGTCAAACTGTGCTCTCTCTCCGGGGCCTGCCTGTCAACTTGGCCAACGAAATGCCATACGAAATGCAGTCTAATGACGAGATTAGGCCAAAATTTATGTCAGCCAAGTAAGGATTCTGCTGCAGGCCAATTAAAATGCATTGAACCAATGCGGGAAAGTGCATTGTCTGGCGCACTCCGTGCCCCATTGTGTGTGTCGTGTGGTGTTGCATTGTGCACACTTATTAGCAATTAAATTAATTTGATGCAATATTTTTTGCTGCGCATACGCAGACGACAGGGCCATCCGGAGATGCGCCCATTGGGATTTCATTAGAAAAAATTCGCAAAGCAAATTATAATTGCCCCTTCTGGGTGGTGGTGGTGATGGTGGAGATGGGTTTTCCTAGCCGACACTGCGTCTGCAAGGATCGGAAAATGCGGGGCATCCCAAAGTGTTTTGTGTTTATATTTAGAGGACAACAAAGTCTCCTCCGAGCAGAACAACAGAATTCAACCCAAACCGAACTGAACAGAAGCAAAACTAGCGACAGAAACAGAGCAACCTCACACTGCACTTTTATAAAGCGATTTATCATTTTCCAAGCGTTTAGTGACAGCCTGCGCTCGATATGCGACAGCTCAGGCAGATACACTGCGAGAAATCCTAGGGGAATATCTGGGAATTTTTCTATATTTCTATATACTCTCAACTGCCTTATTTATGACACTAAATTTTAAAAATTCTTCTACTATTTGTAATAACAAAATGGATTAATTACAATTAAAATAAATGGTTTTTTCATCTTAAGTAATTTGTTGAAAGAGAAATAATTGTGTTACTTATGTTTTTCAGAGTTTCCTAAAATATAAATGTGCTTGAAATTAAAATTAAACAAAAATAGTCAAAGTTAGCTCTATATATTCAATAGAATATTCAAGTACATGCAAAGTATGCTCTTAATAAAAGTGGTACAATTTAATGTTCTTTAAAATACATTTTTAAATCCATTTTCCCTGTGCATTAATGTGTATATATGTCTATATGGGATTTTCGGTGTATTTATTTTTTTGCTTCCCCCGAGTAGATCACACTTCTTGGGGGCATATATCATACGCTTGTATCTGAATGAAATGCCACTTATCACTTGGGCATTCCGTTTCTGGGGGTTGCGTAAAGATCTTAAGCCGCTTTTTGGCGCGCTCCTCTTAGAAGTTCTCCAACGATCCTCATTTTCTTGTAACGGATATGCGGAATTATACGATTTGTTAACCACAACATTAAAAAAAACATGAGAGTTTTCCCATGAAATATGCTTTTCATATGCTAAATTCATTTTTGGAAAATGAAGACTTCTTAGCTTAGAAAATGTTTACATTTTGGCAGATTAATAAGCTAACCTAAATATTAAAAATATATGTCATTGGAACCATAATAAAATGTATTAAAAATAAACTTAGTTACTCATTCACTTATTCTATACCAAAAAAAGTACATTCCTTGTCTTTAAAAGTTCCCCTTAACAATTTCTTTATCGAGTTTATTCGTTCTTAGAATCTAGAAATCCCTAATAATTAAACATGTGAATAAAAATTAAAATTTCTCTTGTTGTTTACACCCATTAAAACCTCATTTATTAACCATTTTGCACATGCCCTAAATTCCAGTGAAATATTTGCACTTATCTGACACTGTGATTGAGCTTTAAAGTCAGCCAAAGATAAGAAAGTGTATGCCAAACATATCTATGTTATGTTCGCGTGTTGCACCTAATAAACTTTTATTGGGGGAAGCCTATCAAGGACTGAGTCATTTACAAGTACATTTATCAATGGGCCATTGGCACCCACATCTCGTTCTGAGTCATTTGCACCTAAAAGTCCACTATCTGGACACACAAATGATTACTGTTACCAGTTACGTAGAAAGTCTGCTGATAGACGGTTTGGCATTTGATTTTTGGCCATACGCTGAACATCTGGCCCTGAAGTACTCAAGTATTATTATGGTGGCGATAAGTAAATTCATAAAAAAACAGGGTAATTTAAGAGGTTATCTACTGATTAAAATTATTAAGTGGCAGTATTTTAATCCAGGCACTCGAAAGTGCATTCGATTTCTTTTGTTTTAAATAAAAGAAAGAGTAAATTACTAAGCAAAAGTATTAAAATTATACTAACTTTTCAATGTGAATATATGTATATATATTAAAATTATATTAGTGAAAGCAAAGATGTATCTTTTCTAGTTTGTTATCTTATTGTACAACTTCATTCAAGTGACTATTAAATTAATTTCGAAAGATGATTACTTAAAGATACGCTTCTAAAAGGGATAGTAACATATGTACCTAAAAGATACTAACTTTTCTTAAGGAAATCGTGAGATATGTACCTACAAGATACTTTTCATATAAACCAAAAAGATATTACATATTAAAGAACTCTTTTAAAAGGATTTTAAGAAATATTAGGTACAAGATACTTTTCTAATGGGAATCGTAGGATATGTACCTATGAGATACTATACTTTTCTATAGAAAATCGTAAGATATTTACTCACAAAATACTACACAATTAAGAGTTGTTCTAAAAGGATTTGAAAGATATTAACCCACAAGATACTACACATTAAAGAACTCTTCTAGAGAAAATCGTAAGATATTTACCCATAAGATACTCCACATTAAAGATCTATTCTCAAGGAAATCTCCTGTTTAAATCTGTGAAGCGACAATATCAACGGCACAGGTTTATAAATACACACAAGCTCCAATGAATGGATATGGATGAGATGGATGGATTGCCGGGGTCTGAGATGCATTTGAATGTCTGCACGTTTGGCGGGGTGCCAGTTTTTAATCAAACTATGGCTGCACATTAATATCTGCCAATGGGGGGCGCAGTCAACTGCTGGCGGCATACAAATATGCAAAGTGTTATGGTAAATTAACAAATTTGTACATTAAAAATGTGAAAAACTTGAACAAACTGCATGGAAATCACTCAACCCGAAAGGCAAAAAGGGAGGGCGTGAGATCTGGGATCACTCCCAGCGGATGGCAAAAATGTTTGCATAATTGTTGACAATTTGTTGGACTGTCAGGCTCCACCACATCCCCTTCCCCAAAAGTCTTGCAACACCTTTCGAGTAAGGAAAAAAAAAGAAAAACACCCCAAGATCTTGTCATGTTTTTCCTGTGCAATTTGTCAACTGACACATTTCTTTGTGTGTTTCCCTGCGACATATTATGAAACAGAGAAAACCGATCGCTGCAGCAATCCCTATATACAGGAAAAACTCCAAACGAAGGCAAACGAATTTGTTGTAATTAATTTACAACACGATTTCCATTTTCATTTATAGTCCAGCAGGGCGGCCGTTAGTCGTTGGTTGGGCTTATAAAAAGAAAATTTATTTATTGCATTTCCCTAAATGCAGACAACGACCCTTTCCCTGCCGCCCGTAAATTCTCCGGCGATTTGTCCTCTGCCTATTTTTTTGGGAACACTTTTCAGCCCCCTCCCTAGAAACATAATTCATAAATTCAGGAGAGGAAGAGGAGCTAGCTAGGTTGCCTGCCTGGGGAGCTTATTAAGTCGCACGTCAGCGAGGGCATAAATTTTGGTCAGCAGATACAACAGAAGATATCCATTCGAATCTTTCGGATGCGACTCTTTTTTGGGGCCGTGTACCAGATGTATATTCTATTTTCATGTTGTTCGGCAAAAGCGGCAGATCTCTCAGACCCTGAGATTTTGATGAATGTGCGCGTCGCCAAAGAAAAATGTACGAAAGTGTTGCCCATGCATGAGAATTTTACGAGAAAATAATTGCGGAACGTATTTCGGCGATATAACATTGCGATTCTGGGCTTAATATTAATTGGCGTTCAGTGTTTTGGTTTGACGGCTAAACTTACCAGATAATCGGATTGACAACCCTTGCCGCTTAAACTGGGCGCCAGGCTGTCGCCATCGCGATTTGGCGAGGATTCCTGAAAGTCCCACAAATAAATATTAAATGCTTAAATTCTCTAAGAGATTATAATAATATATCCTTACCTGCAGCAGATCCTCCAGGCTCTCAATATACTCAATGGCATTGCGCAAAATCTCGACCTTGGGCAGACGCTGGTTGGGATTGGATGATGTGCGTCGCTTGAGGATCTCAAAGGCCTCGTTAACCTAAAATGTGAAAATGAAAAAGTATAATCAATTAATGGCCATCGTTGAAATCATGGAAATCCATTAGGAGCATCATAAAAACACACACACACAGAGAGACGTGTTGTTCTCCCCCGTTAAGAGGCTCTTTAATAAAACATATTTTAAATTAAATAGAGCATAAAATGTTCAACAATTAAACGTCTGTCGGTTTATGACAGCCACCAGTGTCACACAGTTCCCTCTCCGTTCCTGTTCCCCTTTTTTCCGGATTGGATCCGATCCCCTATCCATCCGTTAATGTCTCCATGTGGAGCTATAAATACGTGCGGTTCGTCCAAAACTTTTACGATTGTCGAACTCATAAATGCCGCTGTTTAACTCTTGGTCTTGGCAAATCTTTATGCTTAACGCCTGCTGGGTGGCTTCCCTTTGCCTTATGCCATCAATGCCTTATTGCCCTGCGGATCGCAAGTGGCGATGTGTTAATTTTGTGGGGAGCTGATGCTCCTCAGGATGACATTGCAACAAAGTTGCAGTCCTTAATCGTAGGCAGAGGATTTTCAAAATTATAGTGATCTATTTTTGGATTTCCATAAGAATCCTGAACTAATAAACCAGAGAACTCTTTTAGATATAGTTTAACTCTTTCTAAGAAATTCCTATTAATTCATAATATTCTAATCTAATTTCAAAATGTTACACATGGATTTCAATAGACAAATATTCATTACCCTATCTATAAGAATGTTTTTGTGTTTAAGGAAGATAGTTTTGCAATTATTGTATTGAAGCATATTTATACCCTTGCAGGGTATTATATTTTTATTCAGAAGCTTGAAATTTAGTGAAGGAGTCATTTCCGACCCTATATCTTGATCAGCATCAAGAACTGAATCGATCTAGCCATATCTGGTCCAAAAATATTTTTTTTTTAATTTTTTCAAATTTTTATAAGGGGTTACATCATTAAATTGTCAAAAAAAAGGGCAAAAATTTAAATTTTTTAAAATTTTAAATTGAGTATGCAGTTTTATAAACCTTAAAACAACTAACACAGAACTGCTTCTCGAGTTGAAATTAATGCATTTTTGCCTTAGTTATGAGTTTTTTTAAACTTGGTTTTGTCGAAAAAATGGTCATACAAAAATCTTGATAAATATTGATCTAAATAATTTTAATATTTAAGCTTAGCTGTGCTTGATTTCCGATTAAAGCCTATAATTTAATGGCAAACTGCAAAAGTATATGAACTTCGACTTCCCAAATTTACTTTTCTTCTCGTTCTTATTTAAAATTTAATATGCTGGTTTATTAAGCTAAAAATAATTATTTCAGAAAAGTTTTCCGAACTAAAATTAATTGATTTTTGGTTTAGTTAAGATCGATATCTAAATCAATCACCTAATCTAAAACACACACTTTTGATCTCCGACGTTAGTTTTTCTTTCTTGTTATAAAGTAAAATATAAAACTAATAGCTATACAACATTTGTTTTCTCTTGTTTCCTCTTCTCGACTTTCTTTCTGTATTAATTATGATTAGTATTTTCCTTTTCAATTGTTAAATTTTACTAATAGATATATGACTTTGATTATATCAATTTTCTATTATTCCTCCCTCACCTTTCTCAATCTCCGGCGTTCCCGCATTGTGGCCGCCTTCCGTCGATCCACGGTGACACTTTTCTTTTTGCACGCCTTGCAGGCCCAGGTGAGACAAGGACGCGAGGATTGGGCCGAGGAGCACACAAGCGGTGCCAGGACATGCTCCTCCGAACTGAGGCTACTATTCTCATCATCATAATCCGTGGTGTAGATGGGTGAAGGCGTCATATTCATGCCCAGCTGCTTATCCACTTCCGCCGGATGGTTGCCATTGCCAAAGCTGCAGGACGATACCGATCCAGCCATGGGAATGGAGGCAGAGGCAACATGGTTTCCGGCGCCACCTTCACCGACGGCATTGAATCTGCTAAAGAAATTCTGCAGAGTCTGGTGGGGATTCTGGCCAGGATGTGACTGCTGTTGATGCTGCTGCTGGTGTTGATGCTGATGCTGATTCTGATAGCTGTTGTAAGCCCCATAACTAGGATGCGATTGCTGGCCATAACCGTGGTTGTATTCCTGCTTGATATTGTGACCTGCAGGCATTTCATCACTGCCACTATTGTACTTGGTCATTTTGAAGGCACTTTTAAGGATTCACTGAGATTAGGTTTATATTTATTTTTATTTGATTTATCCTCTTTTATTAAGGGTCTTTTGGCCACTATCAGTATATTTTTTAAAACTCTCCAACGCTCGAGTAAGAACTGATTTCAAAACTGTCACAGTTTCCTTTAAAGTTGTACAAATTATTTCACTATTAATTAACAAATAATTAAATATCTGATGTATTTGTATATTTCTTTTCTCTTAAGGTGCGATCCTTTGATTATTGTCAGCCACAAAACAAAATGTTAACTAAAATGCAGCAAATATTTTGTATTGGTAATCATTCACTGCCTACAGAAGCTTCAATTTCCAAGAAAGGTTTCATTAATTTGAATAAGTTAACTTCCGATTTTTTGTAGTTATTATTTTGTAGTTAACTTTATTATAATTTGAAATCACTTTTTGCTGTGACTCCTCCCGTATTCACGACGTTCTTGCGAGCCAGAGAGAGTACGTACCGCCGTCCGTCGCAAACGCAACACATTTGGTGACAGTGACGGCGCTGAGGCGATGCAGACCGGAGCTGGGATCCTCCTCGGAAAGATGCCCAGATGTGCTCCCGATCTGCTCCGCGATCTGCTGCTGCGTTTTGAGTGGCTGCTCTCGAGTGGATTCTATTTTTGTACCGCCCGCCATTAGACGACATTGGCGGTTGTCTAAGGCAGAAGGACGCCGAACGGAGGCCACGCCCCCCTTTTAGTGAGAGTATTTACGATGGTGCCATGCGGATTTTACGCTCAATGAAAAGCGTGAAGAGCCTGAAAAGCGTGAATAGCAGCAGCAGGGAGAGGCGACAAGAGACGATGTTTTCGAAAGGCTTATCAAATAAATTCGATCCTACCTGGCGGCCGGCGATTAGTGCGGGGCATAAATTAATCGTGGGGGAGCCGAGCAATTCGTTAATGTGACACTTTTAGTGGAAAGTGTCCCTCCATCCCGCCAACCCCCAAAGTGCCACTCCAAATCCGAATCCCCAAAAATCAAATTAAGCAAAAAATAAAATAAGAGAGAAAAGGCAAAATAAAAATAGTCAAAAAAGTTGTGTGTGTTTATTTATCGCCGCTCAGGCACAATATATATCTTTGGAAATCACCTTTAAATCTTCCCCAACGATATTGTAAATCTTTTGTCTTAGGCCCGCGGTTAGCTCGAGCATTTCCCATTTTCAATTTTTCTGTTTCCATTTTCACGTTTCCCCGTCCCCCTCTGTCTTTGATTTGATTTCCTCGCGACGCTTTTCCCTCTCGCTTGAGGCTTTCCCGCCGTACTTTGATGGATGCTTTGTTTTGATTCGGTCTGATGGTATTTTGGTGGCAAAGCCTATTTGTTGTGCCTCACGATAATCCCAATTGTAAATCTTATCATTATCGCACGTCTCTTGGATTTCCTTGCTCGCGATTACTATCTAAAGAGACTTAAGTGAGGTATTAAATAAGTCATGTCATTCTTCTTTTGCTCCTGGATAGATCCTGGAACTTTTATATATTTTATTTATTAAATTACCTGTAAAACTTTTATGAATTGCATTAAACCTATATTACATTTCTCAATTAAAACAAATAACATAGTTTCTTTAATTTTGTTTATAGAAAAACTGCTTTAATAGCTGATTTATGGTGAATAAAAGGGTTATAAAATATATTAATTCATTTTAGGAAATGGACTATCAATATATTGCTAATATCTTCGAATATTTTGTTCCGAAAAGGTAAATCAAAGTTTACGTTAATATTTTTAAAATTTGATTTCTGATTCGATAGCTTATTCGATTCCTACCAGTTGTGCCATCATGCTGCATAGGTGGCGCTCACTTCTCCGAATAGATGGCGTTGCTTTAAAATATTTTTAATATTCTGGCACCTGTATTATCTTTTTCGAGTTATCCGGCAATGTTTAGCAATTTAAAAATTATTTTATACACATTTTAAATCTTAAAAATCTAAGAAATTTATTTTATCCTAAAATATTATCATTTACCTTACATTAACCTTAAGCCGTAATTAAAATATAAAAGCTCGCACACTTAGAAACTTCACCTGGTTTAAATAAAGAGACAGATATTACAATATTCTGATAGTATTTAAGAGCGTTTCTACAAAATTTTGTGTAATAATAAACCAGCAGTATTCTTATTATTATATTATATTATATTATATTGTTATTTATAATTATAAAAAAATTTAAGATTATTAAACTAAACTTTTCGAAGAGCGTGCTACTCAGCATATTAATTTTCCAGGAAATTCTTTTTGCTTCTTCAGCTAAATTTCCCACTTCCACTTCTTTCACTGACGCAATACCCATTGAAATTTTGTGCAGACTCTTATCAGTCGTGTGGGTGTTCATTTATACCACGCGGAGTATATCTAAAATGAAGGTTAGCTGCATACATCTATCAGCTATCACTTCCGAATTGAACACGAGTCACATCATTTTCTAATTAAAGCAATTAAGATGCGGCCATGCCACCAATTGTCTTGATGGTTTTTTTTTATTTTTATCTAACAATGAGCTCAAAAATTACACCTGTTGCCAGGTGGCAATTGAGGCTGCTATTGTTGTTGTTTGTGCTGTCTTGTGCTTTCCATTCATAAAATTTCGCTGCAGCAACAGTGCGTATAAGTTACATCAGCCAATGCATAAAAGGTGGGAGAGAGTTTGAGAGAAGTATGGAGAGCGAAGTAAGAGAGAGAGAAAGAGATGCGCAAAGAGAGAAGTCATAAGCTCCCCAATCCTTGGAGCTTCATTAACAAAAAACACACTGAGCGAAAAATGTTTTAATTTGATTTTTATTAGGTTTATTTATAATATAACTGATATAATCTTTAACCATATTTATAGGTTTTAAATTAAGCCCAATAATTTTACAAAATATTATATTATTATAATAAAAAAATTTTAAAAGTAAACTTATTTTTTCATTCGTTTCAGTGTAATCGCACTCCAATGTCCTTTGTTCCTGCACTAGTATTGGCATGATTTAAAAATTAAGAGTACTATTCTCAGCATAATTCGCATTAATTGCACAATCTCCTTTAAAGTTTGTTTATGTACAATTTTACATGAGCAAATTTAATGCCGATACAGGTTTTTATATTGAAAATTGTTTTTACAATTTTATGCTTGCTCAGTGCTTTTAAAGAAGCAGTAAAAAGAAAGAGAGAAGAGCAACACAGTTCGAGGAGTCCGGATGGTCGGGAGGAGGGGTGGGGTAAATTCGCTTGGTGGGGATGAATGTGGAGCTGTGGGGAGCGTTATTTCAGAGCGGAAAAACGGCGCAATTCACGCATTTACATTGAAACCGTCGACGGAGACGGTCGCTCTGCTCCAACTGCCTGCGATAGAAAGAGAGAAAGCGAACGTCGGCGCTTTTAGATTTGTTATTGTTTGTTACACTGCGAAATGTTATTATTATTGCTATTGCCACGCAGCATGGCGCAACGGCAAAGAAAGAGCTGATAAAGGCTGATAAAAACGGAAAAGAAAAATAGGGTAAACAAGAAACGGAGTGTAGTGCAAAAGTTGAACGGAAATTGATAAGCTGTGAGAAATAATAATAAACCATCGGCGACGACGGCAACGGCTACTGTGAAAGCTGCACAGGTACATACCAATTAGCTTAGTTAGCGTCAAATTGTTGCATGCCAAGAGATCGGGATCGGTATCGGAAGACACTATATACAAGTGTACATATGCTAGGGGGAAATATGTGTGTCAGTGTGCCAAGAGTGTTTTATTCGCTCGCATCTCAGCTGAGAGCTTTCAGTGTCAACACGTGCATACCCACAGTTACATATATGTATTTACCTTGCTGTTGACTTACAACACTTTGTTGCTGTAATCGCTTATCAGTGTGGCCTGCCTGCCTGTGGCTGTGTTTGTGTCTTCCGCGCACACTCTCGGTTATCTTCGACCCCCACGCTCTCTCTCTCTCTCTCGCTCTTTCACTCTCTCCCTCTCCCTGGGGCGCATCAAAACAGATTTTAAATTATTTTCGCTATTGTTTATTTGTATACTGCGTGCTTGCAGTTATAGCAACTATTTTGAATAGTTTCATTTCTTGCTAGGTCATTGTGCATGCAACCCGTTGATGCACTTCGCCTAGACCCTGAAAATAGCTCCGATGGGCATGGGCTGGGAATTAAAAACCACTGAAATAAGTGAAACAACCGTAACAAACCGTATTTTGCCCATGACATTGCAGTGGGAGGAAAATCTGAAAATGGGTGCTTTTCCTTGATTTATATTTTACTTAAACAATAATATATATTTTTTTAAATACCTAGGTATTTCCTTTGTTAAATTCACAGTTTTTATTACCTTGCAGGGTATCACAATAAAAGTCAGAAGCATCCAAGGCAATGAAGGAATCATTTCCGAACCTATAAATCATATATATTTATAATCATAATCAACAGCCAAATCGATAGATCCATCTCTGGTCAAAAAATAAATTGTTGAATTTTTGTCAAATTTTTATAAGGGTTACATCTTAAAATTTTCATAAATTGACAACAAAATTAATTTTTTTTAATTTTTAAACTAAGTATGCAAATTTGTTAGCCCCATAAAAACTAGCATAGAGAAGATGTCCGAAGTGAAATTAATGCATTTTTGACTAAGTTATGATCCATTACACTTCGTACCTACCTGAAAGGGTATACAATCTTCGGCTCCTCGAAGTTAGTTTTATTTATAGGTTTGATCTGGAATTACTAAAGCTCTTCCTCTTGTCCATTACGTGGCCAGCATCTTTGTCACAGACTCACATTGACAAGGTCACAAAGACTGACTCATAGATATATTACTATTTAACTCTCACTACTATACTTATTGTATACTATTATTATAATTAAAAATTATTATTATTTAACCTTATCAGCGAGTCATTTTGAGTCTAGCTTCTTGGCACGTGCCATGTGCATTCCATACTTTGAAATTTACAACCAAAATGAAAGAATTAAATATTTATATTTTACGGCCGACTTCGCTGACAGCTATTGCTTTTAATATGTAAGCAGCAGTTAACCCATTTAAATTAATAAGCCAATTTCAAGGTGTTTTGCCGCAATGAAAATATAAATTTATGAATTATTAAGAGAAAAATAATACGAGAATAACTTTTCTACTATCAAGTATTTTACTCACATTAAAATAAAAACCAAAACAAAGCTTAAGTAATAATTATATCACAGATACGAAAATATTTACTTCTTAAAAACTAACAAAAGGCTCCAAATAATACAAATGTATTAAAAACCAAACAAAAAGTTTAATAATAATCCCCAAACAATCCCAAACAAATAAACAGAGAGTAGAAAGCAAACATTTACCTTTCCGCTTCAAAGCAAACTTCCTTTAAAACCAAACTCATTTTAAATTTGAATAAATCTTTGAGTGCATGCAGCAAACATCAATAAAGTTAAATATAAGTCCGTGCGGTTAATAATAGTCTTCATTTTCGCATAAACAAGCGCTCTGAACAAGGGAAAATTCGTCGAATGAGAGAGCCACACGTGTGTGCCAACTAAAGTCTAAAGAAAACGAATACTAAACTTGTCTGGGGAATAAAAATGCGCAAAAGATACTATTCGGGGGTTGCTGGGATTCCATTATATAAGGCGCGAAATTAGGCCAGATGTGTTAATTGATATTTTGTGTGTGTATTTGTATATAATTGTCTGCACCGAGAGAGCGAACCCAAAAAGTTGTTTACCTTTCGTGTTATTGTCCAGCAAACCAACCGGACTGTCTGGCGAACTCTTTTATCTGCCGGCTGTCTGTAGTTCACAGTTCTAATCGCGGCTATCAAGGGGGTACCGAATATTGAACCACGTATCGCCATAACACCTTATCGACAGTCTCCAAGACCAAGCAATAGCAAACCTTATCAGTGTGGCAAAAATTATATGCCGATAGCAACGCTAGATTGTAAATTAACACACTCGAATTTCGATGGTTCTCTTCGGTCTACTATATTTATTAATAATATTTAGTGTGAACTTGCCTTCGTCAATGAAGTCTTGATAAGGTTGAAGAAAGCTTGTCTAAAAATACTGAACAACTTGAAATGAGACTGATTCCAGAAATTATTATGCACAATAAAATAAAATATATTTTTAATTGTTTAATTGTTGAAATTCCAATAGTCACCCATTTATTATTTTACTTTCAAGTGGGTTTATATTTCTTAACAATTTAATTGAATTAATTAACTAAATAGTCAGCACTTGAGAAGAGTGCAGGTTTTTAATTTGATTAGGAAGGTATTTGTTTATATAATGAAACTATAGGAATTGAAAACTCGTCTAAGGAATTATTAAACAGATGATATTAGAAGGGTGTTTACATAAATATCAATCAAAAGTGTTGAATTTTATAATAAATAATAAATAATAATAATAATAATAATAATAATAATAATAATAATAATAATAATAATAAAAGGCGTACGACTATAAACAAAAATATTTATATATAAGACCACACAAATTGATAATACATTTCTCTATATTTTAATTCTATAAAATTGAAAAGTAAACAACCGACGATAGTATTTCCAGTTAAATTCCAGTTTATGAAAATATTTATAAAATAAATTTGCTAAATAAATTGTCTATATATGATATATTTCTATTGCAAAGAAGCCTGCTTCTGGGAATTTATAGATTGATTTGTTTATAACACTCAAGTGGCATGAATTGTTCGATTACGCAGGCACTTTTAATATGGGCGTGGGATTAAGTATTAGCCTATTAAGATAGATCTCTCAATTCAAGTAATTTAACACACTGTCAATCTCAATTGTGATCACACGCCACCGGGCGATGAAAGTTAAATGCGAGTACTATAAATGAGATAAGCTAAGAAGAAAAATTTAAACAGCTGAACGTAAATCCCCCAGCCAAAAGTGAGCCCTAATAGAAAATGTGGAGTACTCACTCGGTCTCTCATCTGTCTGTCTGTGGGTTCGTGTGCTATGTGGATTTTGACGAATTAAAGTCGAAATGATGTAGACACCGAGATACTTTTATGGGCCCCCTTCCTTCTAAGTAAGTATGTACATACACTCATGTGCCATGTATATGCGATATCAACGTACTAAAGGCTTTCCTTGTGTATACAGAAAACGGAGCACAGAACTTTTTGCAGGTTCTGCGCCTGTTACCCAAGCAAAAAACAAAGTTGAATAAGTTGAATTGCCACCCAGAAAACAACACCACACACCTCCTTCCATCGTCTTGGAGGGTTCCCCCCTTCATTCTCACACAACCGATAAAAACTATAAATTTCTATATAAACAATTTGGTTGAGAAAAATTTGCTAACCTTGAACTGTTGGCAAAAAACTTTCACAATGAAAAAAGTTCAGTATCAAGGACCCAGCAATGTGTAGCGTGTAGCTTTCTGAGCGTTTTTCATTTGCCAAACGAGTGCCAGTGGCCAACGTTGCGTATACGTAATCGAAGCGTATGTAAGGCAAGCAAGCAAAAGAAAACTCATTCGTCTGAATATGTGTGTGTGTGAGTGTGTGTTGGTGTGGATTTGGGGGGGTTTTGGCAGGAACACACATGTTCTTGTATCGTTGTGTGCGTGCGAAAATGCGTAAAAGGTTTTTGAACTTGTTTTCGGTAATTTTCCACACGCATCTCAGGCCTGTTTTTGGGTCAATTTATTTATGCAAAAATACCAAAATCCCAAAGAAGAAGACAAAAAAAGATTAAAAATAAACAAGAGAGCGAGGGCAAAAAATCAAAGAAAAAGAAGACTGGTATTTAGAAACAGCATATGAAAACAGAAAGCTCACACAAATTCTGTGAAACTTGCTTGGCATTCGGGAAGGCGGCAATCAAAACAAAGTGTGCGAAATGTTTGAATTTATACATATGTATGTATGTATATGTATGAGTAACACACACGCCAAATCAAATAGCTAAAATACAAACAAAAATATGCACAAAGGTGGATATATACGAATGAAAACTTATATATCGAGCATGCCTCGTTAATGGGCCCCATCACGATACCATGGTGTGGCAGCCACCTCCTCGCATGGCATCTACACCAAGAGAAAATGAATTTAATTCAATTATTTTTAAATTATTTTATTAAATTGAATCATCATCAATCTACAAACAACTTTTTTGGGAAACAAATAACATATTCATCCAACTTTTCATACAAACCCCAAATCTTTTTACAAATATAAAATAAAACTTGAGTTGTAATATAAACCTATTTGAAATATTACCCATCTTTTAGGGTTATAAGAAACCTATTTCGATTTCAGTATTAAATTTTAAGTAACTAAGAACTTTAGAAGTAGTTCTGTTTAAAAATTTCTTCTCTGTGTGTTGATATAAGAAATATCACGTATACGTACTGTTAGCCATTTGAAAAATGTGTATTTGGTCTTAGACAGCAGCGTAGTTAACGCTGTGAAAAAATTGGTCACACATATTTAATATATAGATCTGCTTCCCCTTGCCCCTCTGCAAAATCTGCGAAAGTAAAACTTAGTGAGATATTTTTTTTTTCACAGCGAATGATTTTTACTCTTTTTGGTTTAAAAATGGAAAGTGAAAAGATAGTAAGTGGAAATAAATAATTAGATAATTACAAGTGCTTAATTATTATATTTATAATAAATTATTTAAAGAAAATGAATTATAAAGGAACCTAAAAAATGTTATTGGCAATTAATTGCCCAATAAATTAAACAACTGATTTGTATGGAAGAAATAATACAATGAATGAATCTAAAAATAAAAATAAACAAACAAATTCAAAAATAGATTGCTTGATAAACTTGATATACATATACATACGTATATAGCTTAAACTTTTTACTATAATATTAGAAAGAGTATAACGTTCAGTGCAAATACATAAATAACTTGGTATATAAAACTGGATACAGATAAATTCTTCTTGTGATAATATAATACAGAGTAGACTTTGTACTAAAAGAGGAATAAGTTCAAGCATAACTTGTAGAACTTAATGGACAATAGATAATGAATTTAACCTTAATTTTTTAGTTGAGTCTTATTACATGTGAATAAGAGTTATTAATATATTTTAAATGGACACGACATAATCTTATCTACCTGAGGTCTGAGCTGTTATTGTTGACTTTGATCTAATCACTGTAATTGTAAAAACAAACTTCTGTATTTTAGGTCTGTTACCAAGCGGGAAAGGGAATCAGGGAAATCCAGGGAAATATCAATAATAATTCAATATTAACATATCAATTGAAAAGATGGCGGTTGATGCCAATCTTTATGGTCCCATGATTGGCAACTTTCAAAATCAATTCGTAAAGAATCCTTAATCAACTCTTAATTTGAGGCATTTATATATTTATAATTATTAAATGCTTCAATTTATGGCAGATCCTTCAGTTCAAGGGGTTTTTCGTTCGACGCGCAGACGATTTCCAGCTTGGTCATTATATGATCGGTTATTATTTAGCGTTTATAAGGTATATAAATATTTAAGTTTATTTAATTGTTTGATTATTTATGAACGTGTTTGGGCAGCAAGTCACCTTTACCTCAATGCGAAGCGAAGATTTTTGCGGCACTTCTCGCTTGATAGGGAAAACTAGACAGAGTGAAAAAGAGGGTAAGGGAGAGAGGGAGAGAAAGAGGGATCAGAGGTACAGAGAATCGAGAACTGTGAGGTGGGGAGAGAGAGTGAGAGTGAGAGAACAATTTAAATACTCATTCGCCATATTCAAACCTATAGATAAGTCTTGAGAGTCGTCGTAGTCGTCGCCGTCAGACAGAGCGTCATAAATATTTATTTTACATTTTTATTTTATTTTTTTTTTTCACCGCCGTATTTTGCTTTTGCTCATGGCACTCTTCCTCTACGCCGTCTGGCGTTGGAAATGTTTTCGGTTTTTGCGCTGAGCGCTTTTTAGTTCCCGAACGCTCGCGGAACTATTTGGTCGCACTTGACGGGGAAAAATCGCCCTAGTTGAACAATTCAAAAAGATATCGCCATATTAACATCAGTAAACTAAAACCAACAACTGAAAACTTAACACTTAAACCCACAAAAGTAAGCCAGGCAATAGCCTGCAATTAAATAAATAATTTTTAAGAAACTTTTTGGCTTAAGAAACGAAATTTAAAATTGAATCTTTGGTTTTCCACAGAATCTCAACTGCACTTTCCTACCAAATGTAACTCGAGAAGTGGAAGCCTGCAGCCACCAGAATGCCCAGATAGCAGTTCCAGGATTACGATCCCGATCTCATTCATCGAAACAACACTTTGAGCACTCTACTCTCCTTCAGTGAAATAACTCCAGAACTCAAAGTAATCGAAGGCTTTAAAACATGGCTCACTTCAGTGGACAACGGCAGCCGGCGGAGGTGCCAGCCCATTTTAAAAATCTCTTTACCAACGGGCAGCTGGGAGCAGCGGAGGACAACCACAATGGGGACAACAACGAGCAGGAGAATCAACAGAATAATGCCAATAATAACAATGGATCATCGGATCCCTCCTGCTGGGTCTTTGGCTACGGATCCCTCTGCTGGCATCCGGGATTCACCTACACCAAGTGCATCACTGGTTACATCCGCGGCTACGTGCGTCGCTTCTGGCAGGGAAACGTCACCCATCGCGGCAACGAGGAGAAGGTGAGATTACCGGCCAGTGAGAGTGTTGGTTAACTAGTGGGGATTACCCCACCTGTGTGCGGTTTTAGACAAGTCTAGACCAAGTCTGTTTACTCTCCAACTAGCAGCAGCAGTGGCAGAAGTGATCTGTTAATTGTTTTATTGCCACTGCCATTTGTTTAAATGTTTTCGTGTCTGGAAGACAGTTGGCTGTTTTCAGTTTTTATGTGGAGCTTTGAGCACGGCACGCGTTATCTATTTGTCCGGCGTTATCAGCTGCGTGGGGCTAATGGCAAACAACAAGTGAAATTAGCATTCGTCAGCTTGTAGAGCGGCTGCTGCCAATTAAGCATACAGATTACGTTTCAATTAACATAAATGTTTAGCTTGCTAAACAAGTCGGGGACCCGCCCCTTTTGGGATAAATACCATTCCATAGATATTTGAACATAAAACCAGTTTAGGAACGCATTTTTATCAAGTTTCGATTTTTAAGCTCTTTATTAAACTTAACTTCAGATGTTTGTGGCCCATTTTTAAAGCACTTTGTTATAAATTGATGTTTATTTGGATTTTTTTATTAAAGAATGCTAAGTGGACGAAAATTTAACTGTCTGTACAAGTTAGCATTTCTTACAATAACAAGTTCTTTTGATTTTGGATTGCTCAATTTAATTTTATAATGAAAAATGCTGATTATTCAATATTCCATTCAATATTTAGTTCCTCTTCAGATTCCTAATACCCAAGTTTAGTTACTATTATTTCATAAGAATATAATCCATTTTATCTTTATATATTACCTATATTCTTTGCAATAATTAATTACCATATAATCTGAATAAAGGTCAAGGTCCGTTTCGCTATATAAAAAAATGCAGGCGTAGTAAATATATATACAAAAGGTAAACAAACACAACGTGATAGGAGCAACCTTTGTGAAAGCATTGAATAAACACTTGAAAAGAAAAACGTATATAAAATCAGCTTGATTAATATTATATATTTCCATTCTTTTGTTACAGCCTGGACGTGTTGCAACGCTCGTTGAGGACAAAGAGGTAAGTGAAGTACTCACATCACAAATATAATTTATATGGGGAAGATGCAAGAAAAAAGTGATTTTGCGCCGTTCGAATTTCCCAACGTAAGCCCCATTCCGTGTAGGCGGTTTCTCTCGCGAGGAGAGTCCTACCAACTCGTCCATATCTGAGATGAAAAACTCTGGCAGATTTCCGCAGACAACCTGGCACAAACGATTCGGAATCCTTGCGGAGTCCTCTTCATCACATGCCAGGCGAAATTCCGCAGAATATAGGCGAATGCACCGGAAATGCACACTTTTTACACCTTGATACTTTCTATCCTAGGCCCGGGGACTTTCGCCCAGGGCATATTAACAATGAGTTACCAGGAACTCGTTTGTGGCCCCGAAAGACAAGCATGGAAAACTCAAAGCGGCGGTATATGCTCAGCCAGCAGCTATATTTATACGTACCTAGTGCGGTATAACAACTTGAGAATCATAAACTATAGAGCGTATGCGATAAGAATAGACCATGCCCGAGCGACATGGGTTCGAACCCAGGGCGGGATCAAATTCTAAAACATATAGTTAAAAATATTTTAAACATATATTTTTTAATATTCTTTCATTCTTTTTATTTATTAATAAATATTCTCTTCTGATTGCAGGGCATTACTTGGGGCTGCGCTTATAGAATAACAGGTAGCACGGCTCTGGAGTATCTCAAGCAGCGTGAATGTACGCTGGGTAAGTAAATCAAATGGAAAGTGAACCCAATGATAAGGGCTAACCCAAATTGATTCCAACAGGTGGCTATGCAACAATTGACACCAAGTTCTTCCCCCGCGTTGCCTCCCAGGACACACCATTCAGCGGAGAGGCAGTCGAAGTCCTTGTGTATATCGCCACTCCAGAAAACGTCCATTGGTTGGGTGACGGTCCAGTTGAGGAGATTGCCAAACAGATAGTTATCTGCCGCGGACCGAGTGGTCACAATGCGGAGTACCTGCTTCGACTGGCCATGTTCATGCACGAGGAGATACCCGGCGTGAGAGATGATCACCTGTTCCAGCTGGAGCGGCTGGTACTGGAAGAGCTGTACCGCTGCAACATACCTCTGTCGTCTGTGATGGGTCGCAATCCAGATAGGATACGACGCGACTCCCACGAGGACATCCGCCGCCCGCCCTCATTCGAGTTCACATCCCGCGTGCCTGATACAAAGTTGCGGTGCCTGAACATTTGATTGCGGGTGTGCTGGCATTGGACGATGGCGGAAGATAGTGTTCGCCGGAAAGTGAGAGCAGCAGCAAGTGCTAGTGATATGCAGGCCGCGTTTATGGCTACAGCCAATTCCAAATTCTTGATCGACATTTTAGCTTGTTAGAAGAAACCAGAGTCTATCGCCAAATTCGACGTATTCTTTATATTGTAATTAATCCTAGGCCTAATCGTAAGCAGAAAATCCTCGAGAAGTGATCTGATTTAGCCACTAAGCTAGACTTAAGCCAGTTCGTAAGCACAAAAAAACTTTTTACACGAAAAACTATCAGGGAGATAAATAACAAACAAAAGTAATTAACACAACCTTCGGCCCATTATTCAGTTTTGTTTCGGGTTTAATTAAATACAAAAGCATTTTCGCAAATGGAAATTAGTGGGGACCATCAAGATCAGGCGAAACTCATGTGCAAACTTATAACTAATTGGTGAGAATTTCGGCGGCACGATTCTCCATCAGCTTCTCCATATTCGTGATAGCGCCCATCCAGGTGTCCAAGGTGCTGGCCATGCCAGCGATCTGGTTGCGGTTGAGGACGCGCGGTTGCACCCACGACATGTTCACCACTCCGGCCACCTGATCGATCTCACCACGCACAAGATCCAAGGCCAGAGCTTTCATGATGAGCAGCTCCACCTCCTTGGCGGGCAGTTTGGTCTCGCGGGCGATATCTGTGAAGGGGATGGCACGCTCAATGGCCGAGCGCTTGAAGGTCATCTCCATGAGGCAGAGCAGAGAGATCTTCTGGCGCAGCTTCACCTCCTGGGCGGCCAGATCGGGAATACCGGACCAGATCTTCTTCATGTCATTAAATCTGAGTGAAAGATTGAAATATTAGAACGTGGATTCATACTATATGTGGTGCAGTACTTGTTGATATCGCCTGTGTTAAATGCCTTGAGCAGCTCCACCAGCCACTCATTCTCAGTTCCTTTCAGCGACTCCAGAATGGGATGCGCTAGAAGTTCTCCAATGTTATAGACTCCATCGCCTAGCAGGGCAGCCAGACCAAGGAAGAAGGCCTGCTGGGCCCACTGGTCACGAGGAAAGTCGTCCAGGGAGCAGCCCAGGAACTGCAGGCCACACCGGTAGTAGTCGCTGTGCTTGCCCACTCGACGGTAGTACTGGGAGGCGAGCATGTAATACTTTCCGTGAACGGGCGTCACATTGCCGGCCTCTTCCAGCACATCACGAAGCTCCTCGATGATTTTCTTGGTAGCGTTTAGGTCGTTGAGGTTGCTCAGGTAGAGATTGCCCTGCATCACCTGCAGATACCACACAGCCTCGTCGCAAATCTTTACCTTATCCTTCATCTTCTCGAGGAACTCGATGGCCTCTTTCTTGTCGCTGATGTTGTCAACGACCACCTCGAGGATCTGGATGAGGCCGTAGGGATTGATTCTAAAAGAGTGACGCTGAGGTTAAGATACTGCCAAGTCATCCGCAGACGCCAGGAACTCACTTTGTTTCGAAGGTGGAGAGGAAGTTCTGGTAAAGTTGCAGCAGCGCTGTCTCATCCTGCAGAGACTCGTGGCGCACGAAGGTGACCAGCTTGATGGTTAGCTCATTCCACAGTCTGCAAAAAGTATCAATTATGCCGGGTACTACGATTTTAACAAATGTAACTCACTTCTCATTGTAAAGCTCCTCGATAAGCGTCCACTCGGCGGCCAGGTCCTTGTTTGTGGTCTTCTTCTGGGTCGCCAAGTAGGCGGTAACTGTTGCCTGTGCGTTGGACATGGCTGTATTTTCCTATTTCTCGAGTAAATTCCAAATTTAATGTAAAATATTCTCAAACTACAAAAATTGCAAATCACAATCGCTAGAGGTGCTGAAACTTCGATGACAGTATCGATACAACCGATATTCTCAAATCAGGCGATACATCGATATTTACACGGATTATAAATACTGAAATATCTTTCGATTTCTCTTGGTTTTGATTAAATGTTTATTCTATTTTACTTATAATGTTGTTAAGAATATTCTTAAATTAAATACAACAAAATATACCATCAAAATATATTTCAAAAATTTTTTCTTAAAAACTACCAAAAAAGTGCGGTAGGCATGCTATGCATGTACAAGCCTTTTCGTACTGGAGTTTAAAATCGAATAATCTGATTCGCTGCAGCGGCTGATAACATAGAGCTCGAAATATGTATTTATTGGATGATTTGAGTTCAAACTACATTTTCTTTCCATTTATACCATGTATTTCTTACGGATGAAAAAGTTTAGTATTAACACTTCTAGTCATTTGGTTGTGTGTGGAATACCCTATTTGTATTTAAAGTGTGACCAGCTATCGTGCACTATAAAGGATTTGTGGCATTTTAGCTAATGGTCACACGGTCAAACAGCTGTTTAACGTGAAGTTGTGTACGCGGAAGAAACCGAATTGGCTCTACCAAAAATAGTTTATAATTCCGGACGCCAGGATCCCACGCAGCAGACACTTACCGCGCGGCCAGCCAGCCAGTTGCTCCGATCCGGTCCCAGTGCTAATCGCGGAGTCAGTCAATAAACCGATACAAAAACAACAACACGAGTGTGCGCGGTAGAGCAGCAATAACAATAGGCAGTGTTTTCGCACTTAACAATTTGTTAGTTAAACACCGTAGAAAAGAAAACCAAATTCCGCGAAAGTGCCGCGACTAGAGTGGGATTATATAAATGAATAAATCGCGAACCCAATAATGTGGATTTGTCTGCAAAGAGTGGAGCACACGAGAAGAACTAGCACGCACAGTTCGACGCACTGGATTTGTGAATAGAAAACCAGTTGTTGTTGCCCACGACCTCTCCAACTGGAAGAAGAGACCCAACTCCGTTCGCCGCCTGATTAGCATTTCGTTTGTGGACTAAGGCGCGTGTCATCCGTACGCCGCCAGGTAAACCCCGCCGCCACCCGATCCCTCACAGAAAAGCAAGGTTAGTTCTTGTCTCTTCACACTTTCCATTAGCATATGCCACGATATTGGCTCTTCTTTCTGGTCTCCCTTATCGCCCCTACTTCCGGACAGCATCACTCTTCTCTTTGCTCCCCTAAAATCGCAGTGATCGTGAGTAGACCGCGATCGATTGCATGGCCTCCCACTATTTGGTTAGTTGCCAGTTATGCAATTGGGCTCCCCCAATCTTATCAGTGTCTGGGCATAGCGACGGCGTCTATTAAAAGTTCTTGGCCTGCAGTGGGGACAGGCAAGCATATGTTGGACAACTTTCTCTTCTCCCCTGCTTTTTCTCTCCATTGAGTAGGAGTAACCACTTGAAATTGGGAGTTTTGTATAACAAATGGAAATCTTTCAGATAATTTAAATTACTTAAGAAAATTCTTTATATATATTTGCTATATAAATATAATATTTTTCGGTGAAGCGCTCTTATATTGATCCAACTAAACAATACAGATTTAAGCTACATTTTGAAGAGACTCAGATTGATTTTAAAATTTACCTTCCTATGAAAACAATTGAAATAGACTTCCGTACAACAGGCATTTCAAAATAATCATAATGTGAGACATATTTTATTTTGGCCTAAAAAAAACCCACTTGAGACCATCAGGAGTTTTCGGGAACATCCTGTTGCGCCGTCACCGATTTTGTTCATTTCCTGACGAGAGTCGGCATTTTTGTTGGATAGAAAGTACCACTACTTTCTCAATGCCAGTTGATTTCCTTGGCCTGTTCCCCAGTTTACCAAAAACTGAAAATGAAGCGGCAACATCTGGCAGCGACAGCAACGATACACAAACCGATGCCCAATATATAAAGAAGGCTGAAACTGAAACTGAAACGTATTACGGTTATGTGAAGAGCGGCAATTCGAAAAATCCAAAACACTGTCAGATGACGACTTCATCTTCAGCTCCGCCTTCGTCGCCGTTGGCCGCTTCCATCTGTATCTCCATCGGCAGACGGAGCATCTGGCTATTAAAAGCAAAAGTGAAAAATGCCACACAGTCCCAGCCGCTGATGCCGCTGCTGCTGTTGCTGTTGCTGCTGCTGCTGTTGCTGCAACAACGAAAGCAAAAAAGCATAAACCATAAAACAAGTGCAGCAGCTTTGTCAAGTGCATTGTCGCTTCCTACTTTTTTGCTGTTGCCTTGTAGTTGTTGCTTTTTCCACTGTTATGTGGCGAGTCGGAGTAGGAATATTATTCAATTACAACAAGCCAATCCAGTCCCCTCCGGGGCTGTCTTGCGGGTTGCGAAAGAGTTTATTTCTTGTATATTCATATACGATTTTTGTGCCGAGCCAAAGTCGCGCCGGCAATATCAAGCTCTGAATAGTGACAGTTGCGGTTAAATTAATAGCAACCAATTTTAATGGTTAAACAACTGAAAATCTATAACTTCGCTATAACTTGAGTCGATTTATAGCTCTTTGGAAAAGGTTACGAGGCTTTATTTAATTTATTATATATGTTTTGAAGTGTTTTAAGTTTACTTTATTGGGTTTTTAAATACGTACTTAAATCAAGACTCTACTATATGTCAAGATCACACAGATCTTTATTGGAAAGTCTCTGTTGAAGCTTTTCCTTGGGCTACCAAAGCAGTTTCCATCAGTTAGCATTTTTGCCAAGCTAAGATTCTAGGCACCTCATGCAAATATTTATGATATTTTTAAATTACATAATGCATTTGCCTATGAGTGCTATTTTTGTGACCTCTATTATAACTTCATTGATACGAATTCAACTTCGAATTCCATTGGCGGGGCGATTTCATAACTTTTGCTCTCACCGCTGCTCTGCACACCGCCTTGGGTTTGCCCAACTTCGATTTGGTTTTTTAAACAAATTTATTTTCATTTAACGCTGGGGCGCGCTTCTTTGGCTTTACGGCCTGGCATTTCTCTCTCTGTCTCTCGTTTTATATATATATATATATATATACATATATAGATATATGTGTACCAATGTAGTTTGGACAGCAACAATAGGCAGGCACCGGCGAACCGAAAAAAAGTGGTTTCAATGCTGGCAACTTTCTCCGCCACCTGCAAAGGCGACGCTACGCGACGCGACTCGAAGCGATCTGAGCGCGCGACTCAAGCCGCACGCATGCGCAGCGGACTCTCCAGCTTATCTGTTTCCCCTCCCCCCCTTTCCAACTCCCCTACACTACCCCCATCTCCTCGTCATTCATGTTGGCAACAGAAATTGGTCATGTGCCGCTCCGTACGTGTGTCTTGCCGTGTCCATGTCCGCTCTCCGTCAAAGATTGCGCGATTATCAAAACGCTGGCAAAGTCGCATGCAAAACGCGTGCGCCATTTTCAGGCTGCAATTTCATCATCAACACAACAGTGAGCATAATTATTGTTATTTCTGGCAAATTGCGCTGTCAAATAGCTAAGCGATGAGTCGACATGGTTAGGCCAGCATTAGGCATTTACCACACGGAGAAATGTACAAGTAGATTAAATATAATCCAAGTTTTAATGGAAGTTAATCTAGAGAGTTGTGTCTGGGAAATCTCATAAAATTCTCTCTTCTGACAAAATAATCTAAAGAATTATGAACATTCTTCTGAGACCCATTAAAAAGTAAAGTTTATTTCATTTATAATCAGGTTAAACCATGGTTAATCAGTTTAAACCAGTTCAAAATAATATTTAAGCTTGTTATATATTTACTTACCTTCAAAATATACATTATTTCGTAAATAACTACAGAAAAATCTTATTTAAAATAAAATTATAGCTGTAATACTTTTAAAGTGTCAACATTATCAATATTTAAAACTGATAAGCACATTTTTCTGAGTGTGAACATCTCACCCCCCCCCCAACCTGTGATTTCTCGGATTGAGAGCATGACTTTGGAATTTGGCTTTTTTGTTCCCCCCTCATTTTTTCGATCACCTTCAAGCGCTATTGCAAAGCCATCACATTGCATTGATGGCTTACACATTTCCGCCGCTTTAGGCCAACTTCCAGCGAAGGCCAGATGCGAACCCTTTGTGTTGCCTGCTGCTGTTGCTGGCCGTAAAAAAAACGGGGCGCTATAAAATCGATGTTCAATCGCATCGAATTAGTTCGTCGCTGCAAACTCACTTTGTAATGCAAATAGGCCCGACTCGTAGCACCAGCGTAAATGCAAACATAGTCGTCGCCTGCAAATACAAACAAAAAGCTAACCAGCATCATAACCAAGCGAGAGAGAGAGAGCACACACTTCTGGCATAAACATATCAAAGTTTATGTTTATTGGGCCCGCATTAGAGCCCAACAAAGGCAAACAGGCCAAAGAAGTTGCAGCAATCTGAGACGAGCCGACTAAGCCAAAGAAAACTGAGGCTAAGCAGTGTGTGGGTTTTGCATAACAAACCAATTAAATTGACAAAGACACGAAAGTTTTCCAAGACAGAGATTAGTTTGAAAGAAGTGGAAGTTTACCCCAAGAACATTGATTAATTTTTGAATCAATTTATTAAAGAGACCATCTTTAATTAAGTATATTTATAATATTTAATATTAAGTTTAAGTGCAGTGCTTCTCCTAGTAGGTTTATGTTGTAGTGAGTTACCTCTTAAGGACTCGCCTTAGAGGAAGTACTCCGCCAGGGGCTTCTTCAAGTATTTGGGACGTGTGTCCTGTGGAGCTGCATCGAAGATGATAAAGTTACGCTGCAGATACTCGTTCAGTTCCAAAATGGCAGCCGTATTGCCACAGCGATAGCAATAGTTGGGTGCTGACCACACGGTCAGAACGGTTTCATTGAAATGCCACTTAAATCCCTCCATCACCAGTTGATGGGCACGGCATATCATATCCAGATTATTTGTACGATTGAATTCGGCGACAACGTCGGGACCAAACAGATAGCCAGCACCGCGCGGTGAGACACCCCAGCCTTTCCGATTATCCGGATCACTCCACAGCAGATCACACATGGGTCCATCGTGGGGCACCTCCTGCTTGCGATCGATGGCACGGATCTCGTCCAGTTTCTGGATGGACGGCGACAGGCCGCCATGCACGCAGAATATCTTGCCATCAATGATGGCCGCCAGGCTGAGGTAGTCAAAGATATCCATACAGCTGCGCCACACACCCGGGGAGCCGTATTTTCTCATGCACTCATCGTAGAATCCATACACTTGGGTAATGGCGCGTGATTCGTGATTACCACGGATCAAGGTGATGCGGTCCGGATAGCGTACCTTCAACGCCAACAGCAGCAGAAATGTCTCCACACTGTGATAACCGCGATCCACAAAGTCACCCAGGAAGAGGTAATTCTTCTCGGGTATATCGCCAGAAATCTTGAACAGGTGCTTCACATCAAAGAACTGGCCATGGATGTCACCGCAAATGGTCACGGGCGAGTCCACAACTTGCACATTGCCCTCCTCTATCAGAATCTCACGAGCCTTGGCACACAAAGCCCGCACCGCACTCTCCTTGATTATCTCACAGCGCCTCAATTGCTCGATCTGGCGGTCCAGGTCACTTAAGTCCGACATCTTGATGAAGAGTCGGGCGAGGGAAACAGGAAACGCAGAAGTAAACGGAAGCGGAAATGGAGTTACAGCTTAGTTCCTTGGGAAAAGCAGCTCACTGGGTCAACGCTTTGTCCCGGCTTTTCCTAAAAATTTGTAGTGAAGAAAAATTAGATTGACACTAAAGACATAAGTTCTGTCTGTAGAGTGGAGCTGGAAAAGCATTGGTGTTCATATCGATACTATCGATGTTTTGTATTGAATTTATGAATATAGTCAACTCTTAAATATTGTCACCTAAAAATGTATTCAGAGTATCAGGATCTTATTAAATTGCTAGGGAAAAGTTTTCAGAAATTAACTATAACCAAAAAGACATCCAAATAAGCATATCTGGTCCTAGATATAGTTCCTTAACTTAGCTAAAACCAATCTATAATATCTCTTTTACGCCTGAGACCAACTCAATGAACATAAACACTCGCCAGATTTATGGTTATTATAATCGTTTAAAGCCAAAAACCTGAGTTTTGCGTAACTTTCAACTTTAATGGTTTTCTTTTCTTTTTTTTACTTAACTTTTCTGATGTTGTTGTAAAATGAGGTCGCCAAAAGAAGAAAAACCTGTCAACATTTTCATGTTCAGGGTTCAGTGGTGGCAACAAGTAAACCGTTGCAACTGCAACTGTTTTTTGAGTTGCAACTCTGCTTCTCGATTTCCGATTTTCGGCCATAACCTGCCATTTGCTGTTGTTGTTTTTATGGCTTTTTATTATTTTTTTCGGTGCAACTCGTTTAACCAGGCACGTAAAACTCAACGGACCAAGCGATTGGCACTCCAAAATCGTTGTTGGCCGCCTTGAATGCTGATGACTCGTAATGGCAACGGTTACCCGCCAGACGACGCAATATTAGCCAGGCCAATACCTAAGATCTCCATTCAAAGCGTAACGAAAAGCAAAATGCGTTGACTGTGCTGCATATTTTGGTTTATGGCATAATCAAGTTACCAACCGGCCAAGTTCGGGGCGGATGCAATTGCTGTGCGGTGCTGCCAAGTTGTCTATGTCACAAGCTGTTTGCTGTCATGCTAAATGCACTTGAAGAAATTGGATGTACAATAGCCTACTGGCACAGTTTTGAGTACTAAAATAGGGAGAGCATTTTGTTGTATATCTTAGACAGTTTCCTTAAAGTTGAAACATAAGTTGATTGTGTTTTTAAGATCCTATCAATAACAAAACTAAAGTCTCTAAACATCTATGGTGTTTTATGAAATCTATGGGTTATAGCAAGCTTCTCATAAATTATTTTGATAATATTTTTTATAAATGAATATAATTTTCAATATAATCTTATATAATTTTTCTATATGCATCTTGTTGCTGCTCATGTTGCTAGTGTCTTGATTTTTATTGCCGCCACCCATGGCTAGGCCTGTTGTTTATTTACGCTGGTCAAACAAAATAAAACTTGAGACAACAACGTTGCCGTTGCCGTTGCAAGGTACAAATATTTGTGTAATGCAGAAATGCTGCCACTGATAGAGATCCCCCTCTAGGTCTCCCCCCTCTCTCTGTCCCCAATAAAACGCCCATAATTACATTAACCGAAGCGACTTATTCTATGAGCGTCTTTTGTTTGTCCACCTCTCGGCCTATGGGCTGTGGCAACCACATCCAAAAAGGTCTGGCAAATATTGCACAAAAACACGAATGCTCACTGTGTTTAATCTACACTTGCCGGCTGGAAAGACATTTGATTTGGATGACCCTCGCACTGGGTATATAATCAAACTTCAAAGTCAGGCAATAATATTGGCGAGGTCTTAGTCGTGGAACGAGTAAGAAAATATTTATGCGATTTATAACATTCTTGCTGTGCCTCGATTTAATTAATTCCCATAATGTCTGGGGAGGTTGTGCTGGTGGTGATGGTGGGACTGAGGGGAGGCAAGGATCCATCGACAACGGATATACCGCAGATAAAGGTTGTAAAAACAAACATGTTTGCCACAATCCATATGCCGCCTGTTTTCCTCCCGGCTGAATGTGAGTGGGCCTGCTATTAATCAGAATATAAATGGTTTATCGCAAAGAAGACGGGACTTCTTGGGGTATTAATGATGTATGCTTAGCTAAAACAGGATTTTGATTCCTATTTGTTTTTTTTTTTTTTCAAGAGAAAGAGAGAGAGGCTTTCTGATAATTATACCGGATTCTTTAGGTAGGTTTTCTTTTAATAAAATATAAAAAAAAACGGTGTATTAATAATGAGCAGTACAAATATACGTAATTATTATTTATTTCCCTTGATTTCTACAATCAAAAATCAATTTAAACAAGAAAGGACATTAACTTCTATTATGTAATTACGCTAAAAATGTTTTAATTCTTTAAATCTATATTTATCAATATTTTTATATCACAGTTTATACGACAAATCACAATTTAGAATACTCATAAATAAGCCAAAAAACCATATATTTTAATTCAGAAACCACTCCTATGTTAGTTTTTATTAGGCTAATAAATCTACACACTTTATTTCTAATTTTAAAAAATTTGATTTTTTTTGTTGAAATTTTTGACAATTTTAACGATGTAACCCCTTATTAAAAATTAAAAATTAAAAAAAAAATTACATTTTGTTCGGACATAGCCAGATCGATTCGGCTGTTGATCCTGATCAAGAATATATATGCTTTATAGGGTCGGAAATGACTCCTCCACTACGTTTCAGGCTTCTGACTAAAATTATAATACCCTACAAGGGTATAATTAGACTTTGAAGATAAATATATTGCTCATCTACTTATAGTTAAATGTCTTTTTAAAAATCCATAAAGTTAGAAATATTAAGGTTGCCCATAAGATATGTGATTTATATTTTCCGCAATTATTGTATATATCTTACACTTTATGTAGCAAAATGATCTAAGCATCCGTAAGTTGTATCTCATCACAACTGTGTCAGTTCCGAGGAAATGAGCTTAATTTGTGTCAATGATTCATAGGCACTTTAGGAAAATTTTAATTGCAAGTGAACTTTTGCACAAATTTCCCATTAATCAGATAGATATCATCAATATCGAACTTTTTAAAATATATATATTTAGTCTAACTAAAGAGTGATAACGAATTGTAAAGGAGAAAACCCATAGACTCTTTGAACAACCCGCACACACTCAAGGACCCTGAACACACTCGAATCAATTTCTGTTTAAGCCAGGATATGAGGGTGTCCTGGCGGGGAAATGAGTGGGGGAGGACGAGCGCGCCTCCTTCTTTCGTATCAGAGCATGTAATCCATGAAGCCGTGTAATATGACTGTGATTGGAAATTGAAATTGCATCCGGCAAACATCAGAGAACCGGCAGAGCGTCGATAAAAAAGTGCCAGGCCCTTATCCCCACTGCCTTTCTGCCTTTCTGGCTGGTTGAATTAAAATTCAAATTTGCAACAAGCTGCCAGAAAGCGGAGGCAGCCAACCAAGTTGGCCACTTTACGAGCGCTTATGCTGCAGATGACGGGGCGCTGTGATGATAATGACGATGATAATTCCCAATGCCGATTCCGATAAGCCCCCAATGATGATGATGTGCATCCAACACATAATGATGTGGGTGGGTGCTGGCTGTGATTAGAATTGCCGTGTTTTTAAGTCGTTTTAGTCATGTTGGTTTTGCTTTTGCTTTTGGCCAAATGGCAAACCGAGCATGAAGGCAGCTTTACTTAGCGTGATTGCGAATCATCTTCTCTGACAGACAAAAAAAAAACTGAAACTGAAACTGAAACTGGAGATGCGCCCGCCGCCGTCACATTGGCAAATAAAACAACAAACCTTGGCCAAAAACATCGCCTATGGCGGCGCATTTCAATTATGGTTTATTTAATAATAGCTTTGATTGCTTAATTTGTTAACAAAGGTTTTCGAATCGCAGTCATGTTAATGGGCGGCAATTAACCGGATCGCGGATGGCGGGCTTCACCAATTAGCTGGAAATGCTTAATACTATTTATAATATATGTACATATATGCAACCGATTTAACGCAATGTAAGATGATAAGTTCCAAAAAGGCCCCCAAAAGATACTCTAGACCTAGTATATTGTTACCAGAAGAGGGAGATGAAGGCAAAAATTTGCATATTATAGTATTGAATATGTAATAGATTTCCGATTCATTGACTTCCCAGAAGTGAATACCAATAACCATTCAGGGCTGGGAAACAACTTGGCAATTTAAGCCTAAGGACGAATGCCCAAAGGCTAAGTGTATTTACAATTAAATGGTTTGAATGGCGTTAATTGTAATACAATGGGAAGCAGTCAATAAAATAGCAGACATATTTTTTAGCTTAAGGAAGCTTCCTTGACTTTGACTAAGGTTTTCTCTGTGTCCTTTGAAGAGTTTTAATTTTATATTTTATATGGCCTTTAAGAGCTTGTTTTGCTGCGTTTCCTATAACAGTTTATAATTACCTATAATTACAGCTATTATTTAAGTAATTTGTTACTTAAATTTATGGCATTTTAAGGCATTATTTATCAGAGTTTTAAGGCAAACATATTAAAAGCTATATTTCAAGGGATTATAACTTTTGTGGAACTTATTTGCAAGCAATTTAAAGAATGAATTCCATGGGAAATTGCTAAGAAATGTTTTTAAATAATGTTTATAACGAAATAATTGTTCTGCATTGTCTTCTGTTACCGTAAAATAGCAATTTTTGCAATAGTGTAGAAATTTATTTATAAATAAGTTTCTGTAATTTTCCCATTTCAACTTAATTTTGAAAAAATTTCCTTAACTTTATTATCAAAAAAATTTCGTTTTCTCTCCAACAAATTCTATCACCTTTATTTTTAATAGGATTTTCTAATCTTAAGGCAATCGCAAAGCCCTCGTTTTATGCCTTATTTTTTAAACCAATGACGACTATAAAGTCTCAAATAAAAAAACTTTCTATTTCATTGCGAATGGTTCCGGTTTTTCTTTGTTCAGAGCATTTTTTCTTTGCTCTTTTTTGGGGGGCTTTGATTGCTCTTCGGATGGTTAACGGCGTTGTGGTCAACGCGAATCGATGGACAAACAGCCAAGTGGGTCAATGTCATGAGAGCTGAGCTGCTGGAGGTGGCCAAAGAGGATGAGATTCGATGATGATGATGATGATGATGATGATGATGCTATCGCTATGCTGGAGCACCTGATTAACATAAGCTATT